ACCACACTTTTACTGTCTTCATTGATTATGTGTGTTTGGCAAATCCTACGAGAAAGAAAAACAAAAAAAAATGTAAAACACTGTTTAAAAAATAACAACAACACTTAGGAGCCTAAACGGAGGACAAAAATGTCAGTAGGTGTTTTCCCATTGATGCAACAATTATTTATAGTTTATGTAAGGAAAAGTACAAAATTTATTCGAGTCTTTTCAGTGCCTTCGAATACAAGCTGCGAGGAGCGACGTGAGGCGATTGTATTTACTGGATTTGTGATATAGTAGTTTTATTTCAACATTAAAAGATGAGCGAAATTAACGTACTACTTTACGAACAATAATAGCAGGGTTAATCTAGGATATTACTTGAGCGAAACAGTTCTCAACACAAACTTGTCCATCGATCGGAACTTTACACACGGTGTGCGTACCCCCTTGCTCGGCGCCAGCTCCGAACGTAGTCAGTTTCAGCCATTTTCAAATGAAATTTATGGCTGAAAAATAACAGCATTCAGTCTGTAACTATGCCTATGCCACAATTCCATTCTTAAAACATCTGTCAATCGTAGTTAAGAATACAAACAAGAAGAAACCTTCATAACAAAGGCGTCCCAAAACAGTCGCCAAGTGTACTAAATATGGCTCTGGTAAGGTCAATTTCTGGGACGCAATTTTCTCAAAGACAAGGACAAATAACACAAAACAACAACAAGAAGTGCTTACCTTGAAGGTTCAAGTGTGGCTTTGAAGGATCGCCATCGCCGTAAGACAACAAACGAAGGAAAAAAACACCCACCAAAAATTAAAGTACCACTAAAAAATCCGAAAAAGAACAACAAGCAGGCAAAGAAACCCTACATTTCGACTGGTTTGCGCCACATTTTCGCCATCGTTTCGTCACAAATCTCCACTATGATGGAACCATCCAACGCCATCTTGGAGCACGAACCAACCAATCGGCGATAACAAATCAGCCCACGTGACATAAGTTTCCTATCCAGTCTTTCTATTATCCATGGGTAGATCTACGCAAAGATTAATCTTGATGTCATGAAACGTGGCTACTGACTAACCTACTTGAGATTAAGTTAGAGGCAACTGTTAATGGTAAATGCAGACAATTGATACAATAATGCTAATACAGATCAAAATATCTTTCCAACAAAGTTGGTTGATTAACGCGTATTAATAACTTAGGGCCAGTTTAATTGGATGTGGGGACCCCAGGTATGTGAGGTAACCCGCTTACATCGGGTAACCCACCTGTCCATATAATTTCTCATTTTTTCATTTGATCAGGTTTACATGAAAGATGGTGTGACACGCCACATGTTACCTCACCTATCTATAGTCAGGTCTCTTAGTGCAAAATATAGGCCGGATCGTTACAGACGTGACAAAAGTGTCAAATTTGGCACAGAGCTTCCTTAGCACCTACCGATTAATACTGGAGGGGGTGCCCGTTACAAATGGTCCTAATTACAGATAAAAGGGGGGGTTAACTTTCACCGATAATAGCAGAATGGGTGCCCTGTTGTGAGTACTCTTCCTGTTTGATTTGGCTAAAAAACATTTGTTGCAAGTTGTTAAGTTTTTAATTTGGTAATGTTTAGTTGTTGTTACACTATTCAAAATAGTTTTACACGTACATAATACTGACTAGTGCCAGTCTCCACACGGTAAGTGTGGCCATGTTCATTGTGCGGACTGTGCGGCTATCAGTGTCACTGCTAAGACTTGCCAGTGACAATATCATTACATATCAACTTAAACAGATCACAAAGCCAGCTTTCAAAGATGTCATACAATAACATAAAACTCAAATGTATCACATCCTAAACGATAGAATCGTTAAAGTTTGACATGCCACATGAACAACCTCATGAACCGTAACTGACAACGCGCCCACTTTGTAATTGTGCAGCTAAGATTAGATTATAATTTGCTTCGTTGGTAACCCTGTCCTTGAGATAATGATTAAAACATGTCAACCTCGTCCTCAAGGGGAAAAGGAGGAGCAAGGGTGGCACAGTTGGTGAGTGCGCAGCCTTCGGGGCGAGAGGTTCCGAGGTCGAGCCCGGTGTCAGCACCTCCTTATTTCTACTTCTCTTTTTTCTGTGTAGCTTTGACTAGCTTTAAATACCCTTAAAACGGAGAATTAATGGAGAGAGGGGGGTAAAAGGAGCGCACCGTCGACCTCAAGTTTATCACTTATTATTACTGTCACGAGTTATTGACGCAAAATATGGTCGCTTTACCTTTTTCTACCTTTTTATTAAGCCCTGGGGACGAGGTTGTAAAACATGCCTCTCCAGGAATTTTTAACACTCTTTATTTTTTGCACATTTGCATTTAAAAAGAAGTGTATGAGGTCCCTGCATGCCTATACACCTGTAAGCGGCTCATTCACTTCAGAGCCCTTGGACCAGAATGTTAATGGTAGGTCTATACGATCTTTCTAAAAAGAGGAAGGTCGTCGCGTGCGTTACAATTTACAAACAAACTAACTTCAGAAGAGCTGAAATTTACAGGACCAAGGCCTCTTTTAGCCAACCAATGATGCATCATTTATGAAAATGAATGTAATTTGTTTGATGCAATTAGGCGAATACGCCGTGGTTACGAAATCTTACGATCATGAATTCCTCAAGAGCAATTCAGTTGCCAACTTTTCACAAAATAATGCTGTGGAAAATCACATAAAATACCAGAAACGCAAGGGTCAACAATAATTATGGCCTGGTCCCTTATAATAATGGAGTGGTCATGATAAAGAAGCCCATCAGCCCCAACTTTGACCACTCAAACAGATTTTTGACAGATTCGACACTGCAAAACTTTGCATTCACTTATGCCTATGTTGCCACACCAGGAGCCTAGAAATCGGCTCCTGGTCACACCTTGTTTTTATTGCTGAATATCATTCTAAAGAGCTTTACGAAATATTTTGTTAGTAGGGGTGTTTTGAACATGATTGATATTTAGAGATGGTGACAAAAACGAACACAGAAAAAGTCACAAAACAAGACGCATGAAACAACCGCAATCTAATATTCGTTTTACACCGATATAATGGCTTCTTTGGCTGCTATGCTGACGTTCTTGAAGATGGCCGGTAGTATCACAGCTAGTCCCGGGTTAGGTATACCGTTTATTACCAGTTTCACGGTTTCTGAGACTTAGGGCCTGTTAACATAAAGGTGGGGGACCCCAGGTAGGTGAGGTAACCTGCTTAGGTGAGGTAAAAAAGTAACCCTCCTTTACATGCAATCTTACAACCCCGCCATAATGGGGTGCAGTTTCTCAAGATTATATGAATGGTCGCTAACCATGTAAACAAGAAAAATGCTGGCAAACCACGTCTACGCTCAATTGCTGCTCTTGCTGCAACCTTCAGTGTTGTGGCTTTCTATTGTTACCTTTAATAATTATGTGAAGCCACCCAGCGCCAAAGTGAATTTTGCGCGAATTTGATGTATCTCGAATCCGACCCCGACTAGCCTGGGTTTCCTCACCTTGAAACGTTGACATGGCAAAATTTGACCTCAGCTGAGAGGGTTACCTGGTGTGGCAGACCGGGCTACCCACCTTGAAGGGTGACCCCACCTATCATGTAAACGTGATCAAATTAAAATGAGAGATTATATGGACAGGCGGGTTACCCCACCTAAGTGGGTTACCATTCCTACCTGGGGTCCCCTTCCTCCATGTAAACAGGCCCTAAAAGTTAGCCCGGCCCCCTTTCTACAGTTTCAGCAGTTAAACTATTCACCATTTATCATTTGAGTCAATCTTGTACTACTTTAGTCTCACTTTTACGACTTCATAAGCTGTTATTATTTTTGGACATGAGTGCTTCAGTTCCAAATGTAGAGGCTTCATGATAAACTGTGCTGTTTTTTGAAGCTTGGGCTAACTTGTTTCTTTTTTTCGTTTATGAGACCAGATTCTTCTTTATTTGTTTTTGCTTTGTAAAGCTTAGACAAGCTGCGGAAATTGTAAATGATATAACTTGTGCCACGGTGCTTGCTTCTCTGTCAAAACATGCACTTGCGTCCAGCAGATAACTGGATAAAGAGAGACTGAAAGGCATCCAGGCCTATGTTAAGCTGAAAAATTAATTACCTCCCTAGGAAAGAACTATTTTGGGTTCTGTCATTTCGTTATTCGCTCTTCATGAATAGCTGTCATAAATCCCTGATAATATGTGATACAACAGACTCTTTGACAATTTCTTTGTTCTGAAATTTTGTTTGCTTTCTTCAGCTTAAGGTGACATGTAATGACAAGTAATACTTGATAAATAAGGCTTAAGCCACACAATAAGGCCTCCTCTAATTGAAATACATTAGAAAAGGAGAAGAGACCCCAGAAGCTGAGTATTCGCAAGTTATGAAGCAAAGGCGAGGCCATCTTAGAAATGACTTATGAAAATGTGGGCGGACTGTGGACTTGCTTTAAGGGCACAGTAATAATCAACTCAATTATACAATCAATAAGCAAAAATGGATGGGAATGCCAGATGTTCGAGTGAAATTGTTGTTTACAACCTGATAATAGAATTCAGAGCGATTTAAGGTTAAATAACAATTTTCAATCAAAACACCACAGGGACCCCAGCAGGTGAAATTTACAATAACTAAATCCTGTTTAGCACGCTTCTGTGGCATATTTGCAGTGGGCACCCCCTCTAATATTCATGGTACTGCAATAAGCTATCGCTGTGCAAAGTTTGGTGCTTTTGTCAACTCTGTAACGATCCTGACCCTAAGAGACCTGACTACTAGGGTACCCCACCTCCAAATGTAAACAGGCCCTAAGAAAACGCTGACTCTTGAGACTGAAACAGTCTTCCTTCACCCTTGTGTCGAGACGTCTAATTATAAACATTTACTTCGAATGAAAATTTGCTCACGGAAAGTAATGTAAAGTTCAAGATATTCTGGTACAATAATTTATATTTCAAGCAGATCACAAGATTGTTTTGTCCCTTATAATATTTAGGAGGTGAGCAAAGAGTAAAAATCAGAGACATACATTATCAAGTCTTTAATAAGCACCGCGCGCAAGATACATCTGACGATGAATCCTCCGGAGACAACGGTCACAAGGGAAAAGATCATTTTCACGACGGAAACACGGAAACAAAAGGCGAGTTTGGTTTCATTACGGAAGAAGATGAAGCTGAATTCCCCGAAGACATTGAAGAGGCGGCGTTTTCTGGCAGGCAAAGCAACAATCAAGAACGATTAAGAGTTTTGCACGCTCATCGGGGAGAGAAGCACGTGATTAGACCACGTGATTATACGGAAGATACGGAAGAGGGCGACGAAGTTTCAGGAACTGGAGACAGTGAAAGTAAGAATGTTGATAAAAAACGCGATTTACATTTGCCTCACAGTACAAACATTGAAGGAAACAAATCAAAGAAGCGTAAGGTCAATTTGCTTACTGAAGAACAAAGAACAGAAAGCGAATCTGGAGAGGATGAGGAAAGACTTTCAGGAGGTGGAGAAAAGGCTTCAAAAGAACGTGATGAAGGTGATGAATCTTTGTTACTGTTGTTTTCGTTGTAACTCCTCTTTTACTTGTTATGTTATGTTTCTCCAATGTAAGTCACACATGTATGTTTTCAAGGGAATCTGCCCTTTGTCTTTCCATAACTTTTTTGTACAGTTCATACACCTACGATGAGTTCGATTGAACGTATTCCGGAATAAGAATAGGTGAAATAAACTTTAGAAATCACTTGCTTTGACATTCATTTCATTGCAACTTCTAAAAAATTTCTTGAACTAAAATATTCTGATATATGTAGAGTTTAATGGTCCAAAAATCAAGATAGAAGAGATTTGTAACCAAACTTTTGCGTATTGTTACTCCGCAATACGATCAATCGAACGCACCCCCAATTGCAACCTCGTCCTCAGGGCTTTTCCCATGGAAAGCAGGAAAAAAGTCCTGGGGACAAGGTTGACCTTATTGCAATACCGTGGTCATAAGGAAATGAAAAGAGAGTTGAAAGAAGCTAAACATGAATAAATTACCCACACGCACTTCATCCGGTGATCTGGCCCGGGTTGCTCGAAGCATGGTTAGTGCTAACCAGCGTTAAATACCATGGAAACGTATACATTTTGATACCTCTTAACCAACGGTTAGCGCTAACCAGGCTTCGAGCAACCGGTCCCAGGTCTGACAAAAGACTGACGCAGAAAACATCTTTACAGTGGCCAGTTTACCTTCTCTAAAATCAGTTGATGTCAATTTGAAGTATTGTATACCGAACTGCCAAAGTGCTTTTAGTATCTTCTAAATAACAAAACGTAATTTGCATGGCTAATTAATTCCAAATTTGGCTGTCTTTTTCTTTTTTTATGACAAAGTTTGTGCAGTTAGGTGTATATACACCAGAACAAGACGAAATTTGAAAAATCAAAACAGTTTGTAAAAGGAACCTTCAAGCTAATGGGTCTACATATGTATTAAGTTCACATACCTATTCGGTTGCCGTCCATATTGGTTCTAATGGTCTTACGTTTGATCTTAATGTACCAGTAAGTCTCTACAAATCGTTTTAAAAACAGACTTTTTCAATATACTCTTTTTTTTATAAGAAATTTGCCAAAATATTAAGAAAATACTAAGAACATACCCGACGCTCCGAGAAGAAAAATATATTTTTCACTGCTTTTACTTTCCTAAATGCAGAAAATCTGAATTACATAATAGCGCACATGGAATCAGAGTGCCCGTAAAATTTTGTTCTTTCAATACATTCCTATTGTGTTTGGCCAATAATACGTTTACATTGTATTTCATTCATTAATATGAAATTATCATTGTCTTATCTTGTCTAAATGACGCTTAAAAGTTATGAGATTTCCGTTATTGAAATTTAACAACATCTGTAAGAACATTCCCAGGCTGAAAGTGTCAAAAAAATAAGAAACGTCTAGGCCCAACTCGAAAATGAAAGTTATTATATATATAAAAATAGTGTACTTAAACATGATCTTCTTTGAGAGACAATCACAGAACTTTAAATTTCATACAGGAATAGACGCCACACAAAGCCGGGATCTAAATCATCCCTTTGGAAGTAAGTCTGGCAGAAGTAGTAGAAGGAAAGTTGCCCACGCCCAAAAACAACAGGGAACGAGAGATAGAGATGCAAAAATCAAGACCAAAAAAGACTTGAACAGAGAGAATGATTTCTACATTGAAGAAAACGATGAGCCAAAAGAGAAGCTGTATATTGTGGAGATACGGGACTTTGGGGACGGAAAGAAGAGCGTTGAACGAGGAGAAGATGAGGATGAGCCACACACAGGAAATACAGAGACTGTTCAGAGATTTAGAAGAGGCCCTTACAGACACTTGCTGCAATTTCAGAACGAGGAAAATATTCCTCCGCCAGGCTACATACCAGGTTTGAGTTTGAACGCAGATAGCTTATGCGTTTTATTGCTGCTCCTAACCACATGTGAATGATATAGAGCGTTTTCACTCACGTGGCTGGCAGCTGTGCAAATTTATTGGAACAAAATAAATTTTTGACAAAAGAAAAGAGTTCAACTCCCACAGGACGGGTTTAGGACACCAACATGGTCACCGTTTCATAGTTTTGGGACAAAAACATGGCGGAAGTGACGTCATGTAAAACGCTTTTTTGGTGATCTCGTAAAAGGTCTCCAGACTGGATGGAGGTCGTAAACAGATGTTATTATATGGCTACAATAGTACGCGCGCTCTGATCGGCTGCTTTCTTGCAATGACCGCGGGCACCATTTTCTTGTAATGACCGGGCATTACTAGTTGTTTAACTTGATAGTGGACATCCTTATGGACGTCTATGTTGAGGTGACGTTACCCGCTGGTCAGTTGTTGGTTTAAATTGATCGCAGGCTCAGATCCATAATGAAAAGGCCATATTACAAATAACTTATTTTAAAACCTCGTCCATTCGTACAGAGAAATCTCAGACTTTGGCCTCGACGTATTGACCTTGCTATCGCTCGGTCAATACATCCAGGCCTCGGAATGAGATTTCCCTGTAATGACCTCACCCTCAGTTAATAAGTAGTATATAAAGTTCCTTTGTGAAAGCCTCAACTCGCCAAGACCTTATTCCTCTTTCAGTATCCTCCGTACAATGCTCCCATCCAGCAGTTCCTGAAAAAATAGATGATGATACCATAATATATCTCCGAGATGAATGCCGCTTGTGTCATTGCAAGACGGGTGAGCTTATCTGTGCTGTGAAGCCTCAGTCCTGTGATCAACATCGCACCAACAGGTCATGTTCCATGGCGAATGGAGAAATAGCAGACGGAGAAAGGCATTTTGACGGATGTAATCACTGCTTGTGTCGTAATGGTGAGATTTTTTCCCACAGTATTTAAACTTCTCCAGAGGTCAGATGAAGAGCTACATTTGTAAGGGGAAATGGCTCGTTTTTGTTTTTTAGGCTCACTTTTCCGCAAGAAAGACACGTTGATTAATATGTTTTGGGTGATGGAGCAAAAGCGCACAGTCTATATTTTTTGCGCTCGATAAAAACGCACTTTCAGTCAGCCTATGAACGCTAACAGTTCATCAAAATCATGTAGATAATAATGTAAAATTAAGGGCCTGTTTACATGAAGGTGGGGGACCCCAGATAGGTGAGTTAACGTGCGGCGGGTCACCCCACCTATCATGCAAACGTGATCAAATTAAAGTGAGAGATTACATGGACAGGCAGGTTACCTCACCTACCTGGGGTTCCCCACCTCCCCGTAAACAGGTCCTAAAAAACACCCCGTTTATTGTTTAAGATTTTTTTAGCAGTAATGAAACAAAGCCTGTGTTCTTTTATCAAATCTCTCAGTACGCGCGCTGTGATTCGTCAATTTCGAGGGCCGCTAATTTTGATAATTTTTATTCCTGCGCGCGCGATTTAAAAAAAGTATAATGAACATCTTTCTTACTTATATCTAAGTTAAGGATCCTCGTTTTCCTTCCCGCTGATGTACGGCCTACGTTCATGCTAACTAACACTGCGGACCGAGAAAACGAGATTAGTAAGAGTATTTATACAGCTTGATATTTTTGTCCTTTGTAATTTATTTTGTGGTAGAAAAATAAACAAAATACAAAAAAGCAATTTAAAGTAAGCTCTTTGATAGCGGAAAGACCAAAAGCGAGACGGTTCTGATGGAAAAATCAGCAACTTATCATCACATAAGAATAAGATATCCAAAACATGAGAGAGGAACAAGAGAACTGAATTTGAAAAAAGATTCTCTCGGATCTCAAAAGGCGTTGGGATAGTATCTTATCTGAAGTATAGTTTCCTATTAGTAATGAAAGACCAAAAGGGTGTAGATTACGAGTAAAAGCCTCGCGCGTGGGGTGATTTTCACGCGCGCTCGCGTTTCGCTCGCTCTACTATCCCTGAGGAAAAATGGGGACTACTCGTAGTCTAAAAAGAGTGTGGTGTTGTTTGTTTTTCTACTTTTCAAATTGTTCTCTTTGTAAGGTGAACTACTCTGCACTCGCGTTCGATGTCCGTCTGCAAATTACAACTATACCCATTACCCAAAGGGCATCAGCGATACACAGGAAAACGGACCCAGGGTTAACGCATTGAATTGGACCATGAGAGGCAAGGACTCTTGCATGGAGTGTGATTATGACCCTATTTTCCCCGTCTGTGGACCCAACTGGAAAACGTACCGATCGATGTGCCACGCCCTTTATTGTGGGGATCTGAGAATCGAGGATGTTAAAGAGGGGTCTTGTGAGACCATGGTTAGTAAAAATAAATTTTCACATTTAATCACAACGTTTCGCATGATAAAAATGAACACCATGGGACCACTGCTCGAGAAAAATCTTCTAAATATAACTGTTTTAGCTTTTGAGGCGTAAGGCGTTGTTGATATATTAATTCCTTGTCTCAACAATTAAATTCAAAATTGTAAAGTTATCAACTCCCTTTATAACGGAGACTGTAGGGACCTCTAGTTAGTGTCCTCATTAGCGAGAGTCCATAATAGCGGGAGTTTATTTCAGTCAAACTTCAGTAATTTATTTTTAGCCTGGGATTTACCTGCGGTCCCTGTTATCGGGGTATCCGTCACAGCGACGTGCCCGCAAGTTGAGAGTTGACTGTAAATTGTTTGCTTCTTATCAGTGAAATAAGAAATGAACTGCAAAGTTAGCCCTGGTAATTAACGTAGGATCTATAGGAAGTATTCGGTAAATATTGTTTTGTGATCATTCTCAACCCAGTTAGAGATAACATTTTGATTCATTTTATCTTTCTAGAACCCTTGCGACGATGCTAAATGCCCAGACCATGAAATATGTGTTGCTAAGATACAAGGCCCGTGTTTGACGAGTACAACAACTGATGGAGACATAGTGGAGTGTCCGCAATACCAATGTGGTAACTAAAAATTTATTACGAAAATAAGACGCATTGACACAAACGACACATTTTAGGTAACTCACGAGTCTGTACACTATAGCATCTGTCACTTCATGTTATCTTTCCATGATAATTCTCGTGAAGCGACGACAACAAGGCTTGCGTAGCTTAATTGTAAGTAGGGAGCTTAAGCAACAACGTTTTTGAGCGACGCACGTCAACCGGAAGTGGCCTTTTTTCATTTTTTTGACGGTGGTTTCGCCCAAATTTTCAGTCAAATCGCCTCTATAACAGTAAAGAAGCTAAGGAATACAAATTTTATATCATCAAGGCATGTTAAGAGGGAAAATACCTCACTTCCGGTTGACGTGCGTCGCTCAAAAACGTCGCTGCTTAAGCTCCCTATTGTCGCGCGCGCAGCCCGTGGATCGCGCGTGGATCACGCCCAAATCCGAATAATTTCCCTCGCCTAAACCCTCAGCAAATTATTAGAATTATGACAAACACGCGTAAAATTATTCTCTCATTTCACTCGTCACCACTTGATTACACATACTAATACCGCAGTGGCGGCATCATCATCCGCCTCAGATTCGTATTTTCCATGTGAGCAATAGGGCAGGGCAGTACGTTAACACTCTTGATTGTAGAGTATGCAATTCTTTTGGCGGGAAGAATTAGAATCCCTTGCCAGTTTCAAATTGCAGGCAAGTCTAAAAGCTGAGATACAAACACCCTATGAGCAGTACACATCGCTGGTCTGTCATGAGTCATGTATTATCTCTTTTATAGTCAATCCCAGTAAGGACTGTAGCGTGAATCTGGATAGTGACGTATGCGGTGAAGATCATAAAACCTACAAAAGCGAGTGCGCTTTGTCTACACAAGGAATTTCTTTGGCGTATTATGGACCCTGTAAAGGAGAATGTTTTGTGGATGACACGCGAGTAAGTAGCTATTTTATTTTAAAAATGCTACCGAGTCACTTAAGGTGATTCCCTAGTTTTGCACTGCGCATCTCTTACTGCGCATAACAAGATGGCCGCCGAAAAAAGAGCGTGTGAAGTAATATTATTAAAATGAAGTTGACTGAAGAGAAACGCTATTGGAATTTTTGCTTGCTGTTGTTTCTTGCCGAGGTGAGACTCAATGTGTTGGGAATGTGCATAACGTAAGCAGTACGCGTGTTGCTGAGTACGACCTCCTCTCGGAGAACCTCGATAGTGGATGTTTAACTTGTGGTTACTCACTTTGATTTTCATTTAAACACTTTCTTTATCACATTGTGTCCTAAATGTGATATCTCGATGTAAATTCTGTAAAAACGGATTTTTTAATACTTTCTTCTCCCTTTCACATACATTATATTTTGAAACTCGCCCCAGTCCTCTCTCAAAAATCGGAGAAAATGCGTTTGGTGCGCACTTGCTGCAGCTCTACCGCAAAAACGAGTACGGTGACCCCCATTTTTTATTTCATGATTTTAATAAGGACAGTGCTTCCTTTCGATGAGAAAAAAATTGGCACAAATCTATGTTCAGTTTTTTGGCAATTTTACTAAATTGTACGGATTGAGCCATCACGGGTCGAAAAGCGCGCGTCCAATTTAATTCTACTTTGGAGCGTAAAGTAAAAACAAGAGCATTAAAAGGCATTTTTCTGGTACGTAAGTGGATAAACAATACATTGAAGTCAAATTCTGTGTGATGTCACATGCATCATCGAAAAAATTCTCCTTTTTGTCTAGTTTTGCGCTGCCCGCGGTTTTTGTAAAAGGGTCCTAAATAGCCGTATTTGTCAGCATTGTGACGTCAAAACGAGCACGGTGACCCCCACTTTTTATTACTTTTTTATCATCTTCTTGGCTTGTTACATCAGTGCACCAAGTTTTAGCTAAAATGTATGTTAGGTTCTTTTACTATGGAATCACCTTAACTCATGCAGTCATTTTAACAAGACATGCGAAGCGTGCGCATTAGTCACGCAAGTTACTTAAGGAATTTCGTCAAACATATGTATTCCGGGATTTCCGTCGAGACAACTTGTGCAATCAGCAACAGAGAAACATGCCTTCCTCATGATATATGCAGGATAGAAGTAAGGAGTGAACGTATTTCGGTTTAATATTTTAGGGAGCCGAGCAAAAGAATTATCCTTAAGCCGAAGTTCCCAGTATGAGTGTTCATGTCCGGCGCGCTTAACTGTCGCTTCAACTAGGTTACCATACCCCTACCATTTCTATTATGTATGAACTGTACTCACAGGTCTCGTTTGTCTAGATGTGCGGTGTGGATGGCGTGACGTTTGCTAGCAGTTGTCACGCCGCTCGTCTCAACAGTCACGTTGATTATCCCGGACCATGTGACCAGGTGGACCCAAAGAACAACGTTATGATGAACAGCAAAGACCCCGGTGCAAACTATAACCGCCGGTGCAAAACTGTTGAGGAACTTGCTCGCTGCCCAGAAATTGCATGCTCAAAACACGTTATCCCAGAGGGAAGCTGTTGCCGAGCTTGTGGTAAGTGATTTTAAAAAATACTTCATTTTACCAGAGTGAGTAAAGTAAGACTATTGCCAACTAGTGACCACATGTGTATCTAGCAACCCACAAAGAACTGAAATGACAAACAACTTTCTAAGCCTTAGAGCATGGTGTCAAAACTTTTGGGAATAGGTAGAGAGAGAAACTACTTTGTTACGAAAATTTAAAGCGGTTTTCTCGTGACTCTAACTATTATGTTTTATTGTTTCACAAAAGCATTTCCCACGCATTTTTAAGACTTCAATTTTTCTTGAAACTTCATCATGTCATTTTTGTTTTTGCAGGCACAGCAATAAGCATTCGACTGGACATCGCCGCAAAAGACATGGCCACTTTAAAAATCGCTGACGACAAGCCCTACTACAACCTCAACAGGCTTGACTTAATCCACAACACCCTTAAATCTCTTTTAAACCTGTTTCCTAACGGCAATAGATGTCAGCTGACCACAGATCTCGTGGACACTAACGACATCTCCGTCGTCTTTTCGTCGATCAAACCCGAGGATTTGGACATCTGCGAGCAAGTGGCGCGAAAAACCGTCGACTTTATCAACTCTCCCTCCAAAAATGATCTGGACCCGGGGCAGGCGTTACTCGCCGCCGCTGTTGTCGTGGAACAGTCGGAAGAAAACTTCGTGCTCACGATTGAGTCAGTCGCTTCGGTAATGGTAAAACGGCGAATGAGAAGAGCGTCTCACCACGAGCATGAACCAATGTTCAGTCACAATACGCGGATTTGTCCTCAAAACATCATTTTCTTATTTCTGGTGACGGTAGGTTTCCACTCGACTAAAAACCTGGCCGAGAACTGAACTCTTGCGAATCTCATTCTAAATGGACATAATTACATATTTCTACCGGACGGAAAATTTCAATAAAATTGACTTAAAAAAATTCAACTGAAAAATAATTAACTGATAACTTATTGAATTTTTGGATCAAGAGAACTTTTTTCCTAAGGCTGGATTCCTAATGTAACACTAATGTAACTTGTATGCTGTATGTTCAAAATAAACATTGACTACGTCCAATTTTCTATCTTCAGTTAATTTCTTCATACGATTGAATAATCGTGTAGAGCAGGCGCTACTTTTTCGTGTTTCTCAGGCGAGCATGAAGCGGGCATACAGCGCAAGACACGCGCGACGGGAAAGACGCGTAAAAAATACCGCCTGTCCACAAACCATCTCTTGTTCCATTCCGCCCCGAGACACACACCCAAAAGACCATTTCCGCGCCTTACCCCATTGCACGTGTCTTGCGCACCACGCCCACGCCACTTTGCGCTTGCCTTCACTCACCTGAGAAACGCGAAAAAAATAATAATAATAACGCTTGTTCTGCAGGCTAGAGTATTCGCAAATCAAAAAGAGCAAAGAGAAAATGCTTTCTGTGTATTTTTATTAACAGCACAGAAAAGAAATGGTTTTTAAACTATCAGGAATGAAGAGTATGGTCTTCTTGAGTGAAGAACATCAAAGTTGGTTTAAAATGTAGCTGAGCACAACAGATATACACTGTAAACGGGCGCGCCATATAGTAGTTTCAGCAACTGAAACATGCGATTGCCTACGGCAGCCTAGGCTGCGAGCAGTCTCTCTTTTGCTCCAAAATCTGTGATCGCAACTCGTGCCCTCGCAACTCGCATGACTTTGCTACTCAAATACTCTCACAGATTTTCAAGCAAAAGAGAGACTGCTCACAGTCTAACTACAGCCCCTTCCATCCTTGCACCCTTCCTGTCCACAAACGTAATAGTACCAGGGTCAAGAAATTTTTAAAAAAATTCTCATAAACTAACAACTATGAAGGTCAAAAGGTTAACTTTCAGCTATAAATCTGGCAATTCACTAAAACATTCCATTGTTAAAGCACTGTCTTCTTCACTATGTGAAACCACAGGGTGCCCACTCTCTTCTTCCTCTTGGAAGTCCTGTGGAATGTACATCATACTGGCATCACCCATGCCATAGTTACAAGAGTGGCAAGGTGCAACCTTACGAAATGCCATACAATGTAGATGAGTCTGTTTTTCATACTTAAACCGCACGAATCCAAGTGACTCAATAGCACTCTTCCAAGATTTTATCATTGCAGAGTTTTTATTCTGATGGCTGGAGTCTGGCGTAACAATTAATAGCAAACCATTTGTCTGTAAAAGTTGATGGGCTTTTTGGCAGCATTCCCAACGTTGAGAAGCAGAAGGAAAGTAAGACAAAAGAAGGGAAAATACAACAACGTGGAACATTTCTGATGGAAGAATATTGATCTCTTTGCCCTCTAATTCCTTTAAATAGTGCTCTACGTATGTCAAGTTACGTTTGTCTCCATTGTTCACTACATTTGATGCTGTTGAGCTCATCAAAAGTTTGCCACTTTGTAGAGATGTTTCAGAGCTTTCCTCTGACACAGTTGATCCATTACAGAGGTGCTCAGTAAAAATTGGGACAGCCATGTCTTGTTTTTCTGGCGACATTTCGTTTGATGGATTTCTCATACTTGTATCATAATTCTTGCAAGAACAGCATTTTTGAGTTAAAGGAGGCATTTCTTTTACTTCAAGATTAAGAAAATCACACCTGTAAACAGTCTATGAAATAAGTTTACAGTTACTTTGTTAGCTTAAAATGCATAAAATGTAAAATGTTACAAGTTTTACCTTACTGTTCAAAGGCACACAAGGGCGTTTTATCAAACTGAAAAAAAAAAACGGACTAAGGTGGTTGGTCCTAACATTGATCAAAGAAGAAGTCATACTTACAGAGATTGCAGGTTGCAGATCTATGGCAAGTGGATCAATGTTGTTATAAGCAGCAAATGGATTGAAGCAACTTCCAACATCAAGAAGAAGTAACTTGCCATTTGCTGATGGAAATCTGGGAAAAAATATGATGTTCACCATGAATATAACTGTCCTCAAATGACAAGATGTAGCCTATGCCAGGCCCTTGGTCAGTGCCAATGAATAAAAAAAATAAGTGAGCAGTGAAATAGGAAATGATAAAAAATCAGCGGGAAAAGAGAAGGAGAGAGCCTGTAATCATCTTTTCAAATACCTTAATCCACACACCACCTTGCCCTCTTCCTAAAAAACCTTTATCTCCTGTCAAAATGTCAAAGGTCAAAACATCAAAAGGTGCAGTGTGGGAGGGTTTCTGTCCTTGACATGTATGTAAAACTCAGCATGCACGAAGCCAAATGACTGAAGTAAGTGTTGAAGTAACCTGTCACAAAATAATGACCAATCTTGGGGTATACCAGGCCCCGGTTGTTCAAACGTTGGATAGCACTATCCACCGGATCAATCACTATCCAGCGGATAAGTATTACGCAAATCAATTACGCTATCCGCTGGATAGTGATTTATCCGGTGGATAGCGCTATCCAACGTTTGAACAACCCGGGCCAGGAGCTGGACATCGGAATGAGGTATTGAAACAATGCTCACAGTCTCCTCTTCTCCATCTCTCCCCAACCCCCACATAGTTCGCAGGCAACTTCTTGCAATCTGCTTTTCTCACTATCTTTGAGCCTGGAACAGGCTATACAAAATGGGGTTTTCAATTTTTTGCCAACTTGGCAAAAAATTGGAAAAAATTGGAAAAAATTGGTGTACCAATTTATTGTTGGCACACCCTTATTGTATGGTTGATGGGGTTAAGTATTTCAGAATTGGTTGACAAGTGAACATTGAAAAAGTGGATCACTGGATTTGTGGCTGGGCCTAGTGGTTCAAGTGTTGTACAGCACTATCCATGGGGTAAATCAATATCCAGCAGATCAGTATTAGATAATCCAACTGCGTTATCCACTGAATAGAGAATATATTCAGTGGATAATGATATATAATTAACCTTCTGAACAACTGGGGCCAGGTTTTTTGTGGGATCTTGAGGGTATGTAGTAGTTACTCACAAGGCATGACATAAGGCACCTGACAACTTTCTTGCATTTTGAAACAGTCACACTTCCTATTCAGCAATTGTCTCTACATGCACTTTTTTTAAAGGAGTTAAGCCTTATTTTATTTTTATTTTATTTTATTATTTTGCCACACACAATGAATTACGAGCAGAATAAAAACAATAATAAATAGGTTAATTAACATTAAATTCAAAATTTGTACATTACTTGGGAGGAGTGACTGTGGCGGGGAAATCTCAGAGAAGCCGAGCTTATGAGGAATAGAGATTTCCCCCAACGGGCAATTAAAATACTAGGCAGCATTTTAAGCCTTCAAAGTTATCAGAGTTCTCTGCTGATAATCTCTGAAAAAACACTTACCTAGCACTAGGACAAATCTCACTTTCCTCTGAATCAAAACAGCAGCAACATTTGTTCACAGTTTCAGAAAACTGTCGTCTCCTTTTCTGTTTTTCTTTCAACTTTTTCAGTCCTCCCCCACTGAAGAACTCCACTGCCATTGAATAACACCACTCTACCCTCCCCTCTGGGGACTGTCTTGTCCAGTGATTGACAGCTAGCATGTACATGGCAGATGCATATTCCTCCAATGATTTCCTGTCAGTACAGTGGCTTTGCCAGACTTTGTTGTGGTCACCATTCGCTTTATCATTAGAAAACAGGCATGAAGGATTTAACAAATAGAATCTACATCGACCCAAGAAAGTCTCCCAATTTTGCAATTATAGTACAGCCAAACTCCGTTAATTTGGACACAGAGGCGGCCATAGAAAGTGTTCATATTAACAGGGTGTCAGGGGCACCCAATAAGAATATAGTTCAAAACCACTAACACATGGCATTGTTGAATGTATTTTAGTATTTAAACGGTAGATATAGGCATATTTTTATCACCTAAAAATTTTTCATCTGCTCGGATTTCCTAGCTGAAAGTCTAGTGATCCGAAAATAATTATAGGAATCAAAGCTTACCTTTTTGAAAATTTCAGCCAGAAAAAAGGCTCCAGAAAATTCTAGGTGACCTTTTTAGGGTAAAAATCTGTTAAAAATGGGCAATTATACCATTTGTTAGATGTTCGAAAATCCTGGGAAAGGTAGGCAAGCAAGAAATTTTACAACAAATGTTCAGAAAATTCTAGATCTCAAATCGTCTTCCGAACAGATATTTTCCAAAAATTCACGTTGGGTGCCCCTTTGGTGTCTGTATTAGGTGGGGTGAATTTAGAGAAAACGTAAGGGCTTTCTTTACTTCCCAAGGTACAAAGCAAACTGTCCATAAGAACAAAGTGCGCGTATTAGGCGGTTTTCCGTAAAGCAGGGTTATATGGATCTTTACAGGGAACATGTATTGTAAATGATGTTTTTTTTCTTTTTTTATTTTTATCCCACTGGAAAGAGCGTCGCTGTTGAATGACATACCGTAAAATTCCAAAAAAAAGGCCCCAGGGCTTATATTTTTCAAAGGCCCTTTTTGAGGGGCTTATTTTTGAAGGGGCTTATATTCGGAGGGGCTTATCTACGGAGGGAAATTTGCGTTTCAAAATCGATTGGGCTGGCCTTACAGTTGGAAGTAAATTTACCGTTTTTGCTGTTTTACATTGTAATTTTCCAAGTACAAGCCCCCGGAGGACGAGGAGGGGGCTTATATTTGGAGGGGCGATTTAATGGAGGGTTTTTTGCGTTACCGGTTTGGGGGGCCTATATTTGGATGGGCTTATTTTCGGAATTTTACGGTATGTTAGCTTTACATGTAAAAATGATGAGCCCATATATCCACAAATTTTAAATTAAACTTTACAGATACCTAGCATCTTAACAAATGAAGCACTATTTACCTTCCCTTAACTCTCTCCTTAGCTTGCCGTGCAATCCTTTGATAATATCTGCCAGTTTCTGTTGATCGCAACCTTCCATGTCGGATGGATCGTCCGCCATATTGACCATAATGAACTTTGAGCCTGCAAATGTTCAGCAGTAAACAGAGCTAAAACATGAGCGGACATCTCGAGAAACAAAAATGGCGGATGGGCAACGTGTCAAAGACTTGTCAAAACATACAATTAATTAGTAGATTTTGCAAAAGAATTAAGTGCTAACCACTCCTGGACCTCGGAGAGGAAAAAGTATATTTCATGCCTTTCAGCTGCTTCTAATTAAAAAGGTATTTAGTCAAGCCTTGAAAAGAAATTCCGGCGTGAAAACTCTGCAGAAGAACAGTCGTTATTTTCATCGGGTGTGACTTCTGTAATTAGCATGCTACCTAAAGTATCCAGCAGAGTTGCTCAATATTCCTCTTCACTTTGCTTTCTTCTCTTCTTCGCTGGAGCTGCGAATGGTATCAGAGAACGCTGGCTTCACCATACAACAGATGGGAGCATCCATCTTCTTGCTATCGCGGTTTCTGTGGCTGTTTTGATTTCTATAGCTACTTATCTTTACGGATACAAAGAGTTTGGAAAAGGATTTAGCCATTTGTGGATGGGTGTACTTTTCAGTGTTTTATCCTTCACCGAAATTGCGTTTGATCACCCAATCGATTCTCTTCACGACTTGGATGCCACTGATATGCTCATAATGACAAGTACAGCAGTTCATTGCTTCAGAGCGTTAACTTTAAGAATCTGTGGCACGCCTGTATACGATTCTATCTTCCTTTCAACAGAAGAATGCTTGTACCTGCTAGGATTTCTCTCTGGGACGACTGGAACTATGCACTTTGGAAGCATGCTAACAATCATTGTAGCGGTCACAGTTCATTTAATGGCATTTCATATGAAGTCAAGCGTGGCCCTTCTCAGCGCCTGCTGCCTGTGCTTGCTGGGTGGTCTGTATTTCTTTCCAGCCAGTGATGTCCATTACAACCCTTACATTTTATCATCTTTTATCATCCATCTTTCGTTTGAATCTATCATTGACATTTACTTCTCAAGGCTGTCTTTATTGGAATCATGGAAGAAGTTCATATTTCATGGAAGATGCATTCATAGACTTCAGATACTTGCAATCTTGGTTTTGGAAGTGCTCTTCTATGGATTTAGCACACAACTCATCAAAGACCCTGAAATGCCAGTATATAGACTGCCCATATTTGTGCTGATGTCTATTCCATGGGTTTGGTTCCATTTTATGTTTATTGTAACATGTTGGGGATTTGTTGGAAAGCTGGAGGAATGCTGTAATGTTGTAAATACAAGAGGAGAATATAGTGACAATGCCATGTCCGAAACAATGGCATCAAAAGGACTCAGACACTTCTGTCTGGTGTCACAAATTGTAACACTGTATACTTTAGTTTCCACAATTCTTGTGATAGCATCAGCATGGCAAGAAACAAATCCAATATTCATTGGCATGCTGTTGACTGTTCTGCCTATTGAGTTACTCATGTGTGACATCCTAACAAAGCTTGGTAAGTCTGTGGGAGGAACAGCTATTGGTTACGCTGTAGTGGCACCTGCTCATAAGTACAGCCCAACTGGGGATGTCATTGTTCTTGCAGAAAATGCCTTCCAAGCTGTCAACACCAAAGCAATGGAACTCATTAACATTGTGTCCAGATTTTTCTCAAGTCACATGATTCATAACTTTGGTACAGATTTTTCAACTAGTGGTATTTCTGCTGATTACATCGAAAAGAAGATATCATCATTTTTTCAGCAAAGAGTTCTTCCTGGATTGCACTATGATACATACATTTTGTATTATAGTGGACATGTAACAGATAGTGGTGACTGGGCGCTCACAGAAAACAACACCCTCTCATTTGATAGCATCTTAAAATGGTGGAGAAACAAAAATGAAGGAACAGGGGCCAGACTCATACTATTTCTTGATACTGCACATTCTGATAAATGGGTGAATGATATTTGGAAAGTTGAAAATGACTTTGTTGCCATCCAGACTGGGAAACTGACAGCCACTTTTGATGCAGAACAGGGAAACATTTTTCCCTTGGGTGAACTTACAAAACTGTGGGACAATTTTAATACCACTGAGTTGCCCAAACCAGGAAGTTACTGGGACAAAAACAGCTTGAAAGTCAAGCCAGTTTATGGTGTCTCCAGAGAATGGTGTTGTTTTAAATTTCATGAACCAACAGTGGAAGATATTGCCTTGCATGTGGAGCAAAACTTTCCAAGATTCATTAAACCAATCACCAAGATTTTCACCCATTTGCCTTGTAATACTAACATTCTAAGCATGTTCGACTGGTTCACCCGTGGTTGCCGTCGAATGAAGATGCGTTGGTTTCCTCCAGCAGTGTATGACACTGGCCATGGATTTAAACTTGTTCGCTGACATTTACGATATAGACACCAGTTAGAATGACTTTCATACCTTATATATATCTCCATTACTGAAGAAGTCCATATGACTTCTGATCTCATGTTAAATTCCTTTTTTGGTTGCTCAAGCAAACAAAGGCAATTAAAAGGAGAATCCACCAGTTTTTCAATGGTCACTTGATGCTTTACTCCAGGCATTTATTCAGGAAATATATGAAGAGAACAAAACAGGGTGCACAGAGACATGAAATTTATCTGCTAGTGTCAAATTGATATCTCATGAAAGAGAAAAGCAAACTAGTAAGATATTGATTACAAAACAAGAATATCAACTCCGTATCTCAAAGCATCCTTGTATTATTCTGTTCATGATATAAGCTAATACCCTGTCATTATTTCAAATAAAAAAATTTATTTTCTTGAGTAAAGAAAACAAAATGTTTTTAACCATTGTTTTGCCCTTTTTGGTTTGTTTTTTTTCCTCTCTCCCTTTTAATCTTAGAATTTAATCAGCAAACCAAAGAAAATGTGCAGTGGATGCAAAGCAATTGTTGCCAACTTCAAAGACAAGTATTGTTGTAAAACCACAAGTAGGTCACTGATTAGACTTTAATATAACACCCAACAGTATTGTTATAATACTAAAAGAAGATGTATAATACTTATTGGTTTATTTAACACATTGTGAAGTTATGGAAAATGGATTACAATCAATCAATTTGCATGATGACACCATTTTACTGCTACGACCAGAATCCTACAGGGTTTGCTTTCTTGTACAATTTAGGGCTTTTGTTATTTAAACCTCGCTGGGATTACCAAATTTAAATATGAAAGGAAAATCAAAAAGGATTCTGGTTCAAGTAGTAGAATGACGCTATCGTGCAAATGGCCTATTAATCAAAGAAAACCATTACTTAAAATTTACAGTAAGAGATTGCTGATATCTTTAGAGGTAAAAATAATAAGAAAGAAGATTAGACAATTTGTTTGGAAGATAATATGGTAAACAAAATTTAAACTTTAAATTACACTTCAATGTACTAACAAATCTAATAAATAAACATAACGAAAAATAGAGACAATTCTTATTTATAAATTAAAGTAACCAACAAAACTAAAGATGCAGCAGTCAATGTTGAATGACACAAGAGTGAGGAATATTAATCTCATCAATGTCAATTTTCTTTTACATTATTCATACATCAAGAGAACATCATCAGGGTGTAAAGAAAGTCAGTTTTACAGCCTGCCATTCGGGCAAGCTGTAGCTACCCCGTACTAGCCCACAAATCATTTCAGCTAGCCCCCAAACCCTTTTTGATTAGCAGGATTGATTACAATCCTTGTGTAATTTGAATTTCCCAAAAGACAGCACTTGACTTTCTTTGCACGCTGATCATCAAGAGTAAAGGCTGGGAGCATTATTCAAATGATTAGCCTGAGAAAAGAGCTGACATTTTGCGACCGCAACGCTGGTTTCCCTGCCAAATGACGTCTAAGAAATGAGCACCAAAATTCCATACTGATGATACTTTACTACCCAGATCTGAGTAGTGCCTCTGATTGGTCAGGCCGAGTGGTCAGGCTGATTGGTCAGGCCGAGTTTGCTTCAGCCAATCAGGAGCATCATCAGTATGGAATTTCTGTGCTCGTTTCTTAGACGTCATTTCACAGGGAAACCAGTGGTGGCATCACAATATGTTGGCTGTCTTCTCAAGCTAGGGTATAATGTAAATGCTTTGATCTTTGACCAATTTCTCCCAACTAACCTACAACAAAATGTATGGAAAACAGTTTGGAGAATTTGTATGTTGATAATCAATGGGGCTTTAAGGGATAAACAGGGTTGTCAAAAGCTGAGGTTTACTGTTTAGTCATGTTCACATAATAGATTGCGACAAAAAGTACAGTATTTAGGTGCTGAGCCATAAATAAAAATATAATATTACATTAATTTTACAATGTTATATGGTATAGAAAGCTATAAAAATTAATGAAAAAACAGTTCATTCTTGCTAAGTTTTTTCTTGCATGTACCGGTATGTTGATATCAGAGCTACTCTTAGAGAGAATAGATTGAGGGGGGTCATTTCTAAATTTCCTAAATCCCTTTTAGCAGCATAATTTTGTACTGAAATTGAAAGGAGAAATTTAATCAGATCAATATAGAGCTTGCAACATATAAGAACCAAGATATTCCCTCATATTTCCCTGAATGCTTCACTGTTTTCTCTGACCTTTCATTTCATATTGTGTAGTTCCACAAGATGTCTATAGTCACTGCCCTCCAACTCTCCATCCCCACCGAAAAAGAAGGAATTGGAAATTACTGGGATAGGAGGTTCTGGAAAGGAGTGTTGCCTGACAAATCTTAACCCTTTAAGCCCCAATATCCACATACAAATTCTCCAAACTGACCTCCGTACATTTCCTTTAAGAATTAGTCGAGAGAATTTGATGGCAGATCAAAGCATTTTCTCTTTAGTGATCATTTCATAAATTCTCATAACCTAATCTCTTGACAAGGTATGGATATTGTTGGGAGAAAATTAAAGTTGGTCACTGTTGGGACTTAAGGGTTAAAACAGCTGCACAGGAGACAACCCTGACTGTGGTAATACTGACTATTGGGGCATTGCTAGATGGTCCATTATAAAACACTAAAGTGGAACCTCGATAACCTCTTTATAGCAAAGTCCTCGGTATAACAAGCGATTTTCTTTACCCCACTAAAAATAAAATAAGAATAAAAACTTAATATAACAAAACCTTGTTATAGCAAACAGATTTTGCACTTTGTTAAATCAAGGTTACACTGTAAATAACACTCACATTTCTTAAATGCTTTTTGCAGTACCATGAATTTAGTTGTAGCATGATGTCCATTCTAAAACAAGGTCCTATAACCATCACTTGGGGGTTTGATTTTCAGTTCCTTCAGTGGTCAGTAGAATATGGTTCTAGTCTTGTGAAAAGGAAACTCGGTGATTCCTTCCAACTCCCTTTTGGCAAAATCCCACAGGTAATAATCAATAATGACAGCGTTCACAACTGAGCTGAGTTCCTCTGGAGGTAAAGAACTGAACTGGGAATCCCCTTTGGCCATTTTCACCATTTCCTGGTACGTTAGCTCTACAGCCCAAATGGTATTCCCTCTTATCTCTAACTCTAACTTGTCACCAGCAGGAATGACCTCACCTTTTTTTAGCTTCTCTAAGAGCTCATCAGTGTATTTCATGATGCCGAGATGCAAGAGGGACTGAGGTACTCGGTAATCGGCAAACATGGTGAGATGATCAATATCAGTGAAATGCCCCCATCCTTGTCCCTCAAAGCAGGCCCAGATGTCAGCAATCAAAATTTGTGCACGCTTGTAAAATGATACATTGGTACCTTCAAACTCTGCTTCATCTTGAAAACACTTGAAAGTGCTTGTGATCAGGTTGAGAAGTTTCTCAGCGCTATGGTTGCACTGTAACAAAACATTGGTAAATGAGTTCTTGTAATCCTTGACTAGAACTTTTCCAACTTCATTTAAATTCTTTCTTCTCTCCTCGAGTAGTGGCATTTCAGTTGGAGTCTCAGATCTGAAGATGTGTTGTAACTGTGTCACAGTGACATCGGCATAATATGAAGGTGTAGTAAATTGAATGCCTTCCTAAATAAAATGAAAACAAAGATGTAATTGGATGAAAAGATTTTGTGGTACCATTAGAGATGGAGTATTCCTTTTCTCAGTCCTTTGTAGCAAATGCACACCCCCAACTTCTCAAGATCTCATGTCTAAGAATGCTGCTAATCCAACATAACATTTCATTCATGGCTATAAATAATAATAATGATAATAATAATAATAATAATAATAATAATAATAATAATAATAATAATAATAACAATAAAATGTTTACTTCCCGAAGATATTCATTAAAAAAAAACAACAACTCGGTGATTGGATGATAAAACTATGATTGCACTAGGTTACTGCAAAAAACCGTGATTTGTCAGTGTCTCTCAGCTCAATCACGATATTTTGCTCAACCTCGTGCAAGAATTGTTAATTATTTTATCATTAACCATAGACACTTGCAATAAAAACATTTTAACAGAGGTCAAATAAAGCCTACACCACACCTGGACTAGTCTCCTTCAGGGGTTTAATTTTAATTTTCCTACGAGATTAATCTTCACTTTTACATGGGAGTCACATCCCCCGCCCCTCCCCACCCACAGGCTTTTCTGGGACTTGAAAATGCTGCGCTATAAGCAAACTAGTATAACCGTTATCATAACTATTATTATTATTATTATTATTATTATTATTACTATTTATATTATTTTTATTACTGTAATTGTTGTTGTTGCTGTCACTGTCGATGTCATCTACATCATCATTACTACCTTGTCATTTAATACAAACCTTCAGAGCTCTGTTTATGGCTGCACACAGAGCCCAGTACCCTTTGTAATTCTTTCCTTCAAATCGCACTATCCACGGTTCCACTTTTTCATCCGTCCAAAACGAAAAATTTAACGCATCCAACACAACGATCCAATCTAGAGTTTCTTTCGTCATGTCGTTCGGATGTAGTTCATGTTCCTTCCAAGATTTGAAGCTGTATTTTTTTGATTTCAGGCAATCGAATATACCTTTCGATGCTTCTTCTACACCTTTCTGGCAAATAGAAACGTTTTGACTTCTAGAGGAGATGAATTTAGCCGAATCTCGTGGATTTAGCGGCTTGCTCGTCACGTTACTTGAAATATCCGACATCTTGCCTCAGAGCACGTGGCGGCAACGAAAGAATAAGTGTATCAGGGAGGGGTGGGTAGGTTCCCTTGTTTTATGATAACGTAATATATTCTCAATTTTGTATTTTTTTATTGCACATCTCGTGTAAACTTGGCCTCAGATTTCTGAGCACTCATTGATCCCGGTACACGCCAGAATTTTGTTGACACTTTTGGTGTCTGTTTGTTGTCGGGGGAGGGTATAAAATTTCATGGGATGTAGGTACGTGACGTAAGAGCTTCGTGACAGCGGGTATAAATCACAAGCACATCCGCTATGACCGCATTGTGTTTCGCCCATCGCCACCGAACTGATCGTTTCGAATTTTACTACATTTCGCTGGGTTTTTATCTCTCAATACAAATGCCTTTCATCGACAACGACTTTGTAGAGTTGAAAGACTGTGTTTTTATCAAAGGCTTACCAACAAATGCTAACATTGAAGTCTCCCATGTTAGGTACAAGACGGGACGAGTGAATCGTTCATGCGAAACGTCAAATTTGAAACTAATTTCTAGTTTATCGGCGTTTGTTTTGTGATATTGCTCTTTATCTTGATGTAATCTGTTTACAGGCAATACTTTAAAGAAAGATTTGGAGAATGCTGTGTAGAAATGTCTTCCCTCTCGAAGGATAAACGATGGTTTTTCGTGGCGCTAAAGTTTAAATCACCTTCGGTCGCCGAAAACGTGATGGAACGGTGAGTTATTTATTAAAGCTGTCACAGATTTCTGTTTTATCAGTGAAACATCTTTCCTTTGAAACAAACATGTATTGAAGATTTCGTTTCCGAAAGTAAAATATTCCCGAGAATTAATCACGCGTATTGTCTCTGATCACAAACTGCCATCGTAAGCATTTTTCGACTGTCTCTTTCTATCAAAAGTTGACATTTGATTCAATCTCGGGTGAAACCAAGTTTACTTAAAACTGGCCGACTATTAGTTTTGAAAAGGTCCATAATGTTATATGTAACTTCACTAGAGTTTCACATGCAAGGCATTTTTTAAAACAAAACTAAATAGGGCCACAGTAAGATAAGTTGGCAAATTGGGATATCTTATGGATGTTTGATAGTAAAGCTTTATTTTTATACTAATGCAGTAAGAATGAAATTCATTGACAACTTTCTTCACAGCTGATCTCTTTAATCAGAACTTGGACACTCAGATGCAATTCTCCAGTGGAAACATTTTCAGTTTCAGAAGTCTTGGATAATTCACTAAAAATAGAATATCCTTAGGTTGCTATTTTAAGTGAGGCACAAGATCTGTATGTGTCACGTGACTACTAGGACCCCCCCTCCTCCTTCTCCTCCTCCTCATCTAAATCTACCCACTGGAGATGTTCAGACAGTTTAGAGAGCAGGAAATGCATGAATCATGTCCCTAGTACACATATGCATTGCTGTTGACTCTAAAGTTAACTATGCACTAAGATGACTTTAGCTGTTACTTTTAGTGATTGTTGATGATTTTGCTGCAACTTTCATGTCAAATGCTTCTAAAACATTTTGGCTAAGCCAGAAGGGAAATTTTCAGGTATTCTGACTTGCATTATATTTCATTTAGTGAACACAATAGAAACAAAATCAATACTTTTTTTTCTAGGTTTGGAGGCAAGTATGTATTTGGACATCGAGTGACCATGAGTCACTGGAGAGTGCCAAGGAGCAAAGTACCCCCAGGTAAACTCCAACAGGAATCACACCAACCAAATAGCAGGACTTGGGAATATAGGGAGAATAATGGCAATGTAGACATGGATAGGAGACATAATGAGGAGAGTTTGAGAGAAAGACATTCATGGGATACTAACCGTGCATCAAGTGACTTAGTGGGCGATAAGCACAGAGATGATTTCAGGGATGATGCAGACAATATCAGGCATTATCAGGATAATGAAGGACAGACCAGGGATGACTACAGCTATCAAGAACAGACTGAGGGATATTATCCACAGCACTGGGATAATGAACAAATGGAAGAAGTAGATTACTACGAAGACAACTGGAATGGCTGGGATTCTGCTAAAAATGGCAGTGGTGAAAACTTTTGTGAAAGAGAAACGTATGACAGAGAGGAGGTTTGTAAATGGTTCATTATAAGAGCTACATAAATACATTCATTTACATTAACGTTTTGCATAGTGCCATGTTCTCTTAGTCAAGAAGAGTCACTGACAGAAAGATGCTAACTTCCTTTTCCTTTCGCCTCTACTTTTGTGTTTGCTATATCTCCCTTGTCTTTTCTACTTACCTTTTCGCTCTTAATGAACATGAAAAAATTGGGTAAAAAAATTTAGATCACCTCAGTTGTAGTGGAAAAAAAGACCTTTGAGAATACCAATTGAATGGATGCTCCAACTTAGTTGTGAGAGGGTACATGTAGGAAAACCCACAGAGTTACATGTAGGTTTGTTTGAGTATCTGATTGGTAAGGCTAAATAAATTAAGTAAAATGGCATTAAGATGTGAGGATTTTATGATAATCTGGTTCTAACATCATGAAAAACTCTATCAAAATGTTGTTCTGTCTCTCTTCCTCTCACTATTCTTCCTTTATACCTTTTATATTCCGCTTTATCATCCAACCTACCTTTACTAATTTCTGTTTATTTACTAGGAACTGCCATATCACCGTGAGGAGGACATTTGGCAAGGAAGAGAAAATAATCAAGATGACAACCAAGCTTTCTTTGACCAAAATCAGTCATGGGACTATGACCGCAGATATAATGAACCAGACAGAAACCAGGAGTTTTACTGTGAACGATATGAAGAAAACTTTCGTCAAGAGTATGATAATAGCCAATATGATGACTACAGGAGAAGATCTGAAGAAACAAGTCATGACAGTGAAGATCTTCGTGAAACGATAAGAGTGTGGCGAGGTCAAAGGGAAAATAACGGGACACACGAGTTACAGGCACAAAGACAAGGTATGTTTACTCATGTTCCGATTAAAGTCATTATTACGTTGTGGTAGGGCGTTTGGTTACGTGGGAGCTAGGTAATTTTCAGCTCTCATTTGAGCCACCACCTAATTGTCCTCCCAAAAGTCCCGAGAACCTTCTCTCCTAGTCGGGTCCAGTAAAGGCGCCTTATTTAATAACAGCCTGTGTTGATGGTCGACCCCATGAGCTTTTCTTCTCACTTACTCTTCCACTTGTTTTATTGGCACTATCCTGCACATTTTTCTTCTCCGTGTGTTCACATTTGTGTATGCTGACATTCATTTGATGAGAGGCAAGTAGTTGAAATTTGACAATATTTTCACAAATAAGTTGTATCCAAACTGCACTTTTTGTCGACCCTAAATGTCTCGATATAGAATTCTGAGCCCTGGGCTTTGCTCCAAACTGTCTTTTTCCTCTGAGGTTTATGATTTGGTACCCGTCGTGCATCCCTGGATTTTCCATGTTGATTGTCCTACATTCGACCCCCCAAAAAGGAAAGATTACGACCAATCTCTTTATGCTGAAAGAGGGGCCTTACGCGTAGGCACACATCCCTTCGCCAACTTTGACTTAACAGCACTGTTTTTCTTCATCTACAGAAGATATTTCCAACAATTTTTCACGATTCTATGAGGAAGGTCACCCACCTAGACGGGAGGAAGTTACTCCCACCAACCCAACAAGGAGAAGACTATCTGACCCTGACGTCCGACAACGAGAATGGCAAGATTTTGCAGATCGGAGATCCTGCAACAACTCCAGAGATTTTACTTCCAGGAAACGTGGGAATTTTCTGGAAGAAAGGCCTAGGTCAGATGAATGGTTAGAAAGTGGTTGGGGGCGTGTTGAGAAAAGACGTCGCCGTAGCATTTCACCTGTTAACGTGAGATCTCGGGACTATGATCATCAAGAGATTCCTCTCTCTGAGGAGCGTGGTCGAAAGAGATCCCCGGAAGCTCATGACATCAGAGCACCTGTCAATCTTAAGCATGGTGCCGATTTTGCTCATTCAGCGCGTGATCACCCCACCAGTTCATCTTCACCACGAAAACGAAATTCACCAGGCAGAGGCACGCGAGATTCATCTAGTGAAGCCTCGCCACTGAGTGAAAGATCAAGTTATTCTTGTAGTGAGCAATCCTCGGAAAGAAGGTTTGGTGGGAGCCGCAACTTTGATACTCGGGAAAGGCACCATAACAGCAGGGTGCCAAATGAGAGAGGACGCCCTGAACGATCAAAGAAAGAGGCTGATCTTCGTCGGTCTCTGATGGAACACAAGCACAGAAAACATATTTCATGCACGGGTAGAGACAGATCCAAGGAAGAGAGATTGAGTTATTTATCATCGGAAAGAGAAAGGAAATCTCCTCCAGATGAACATTACAGATCAACTGGCTCCCGAAGCACAGCCGAATCCACCTCTTCATCCAGAACTGGAAACAGAAAGAGACACCATGAAGATGAAAGGACAAGGCATAACATGGAATCAAATAAAAAACGTGAGCTTGTAATTTGGGTTTTGATTGTTCATAATGTTCAAGGGCATTCTTTCACTTGAGAAAAAACGAAAGCCACATTGACCTGCCACATGGCATGTGGAAAACGCTACCGCAGGAAATAAACTCAACAACAGCTATGTGAGTGATGCCCCTTTCGTATTTCATCTATACATTAGGAAGTAAGAAACATCTTTTAGAGATTAGGAATAAGTAATAAATATGGCAGAGATTAAGATTTTATCGCTTAAGTTTTCTTTTCAGGAAAGGAAACGAGTCATAGTTCCACAGGCCATTCTGGTACTGCAAGCAGAAGTAGTGAACTCCGAGAGGGCAAACCACAGTCAAAGCCATCTGGTGAAAAAAGGACGCATTCTTCTGGAGACCACCTGAGTAGGACGGGAAAGGTGAGCTGATTTCACCAGGCAGTTTACAAATTCTTGCCATGGTTATTTTGGAAAAGCAGCAGAAATTCCTTCTGTCCAGTTTGATAGTGAAAGGAAATCTGCACACCTTCAAGAAAAGCTTATGTTGTGAGAAGTTAAAGACAGCTTAGCGTCCCAACATCTACCTACGACCTTTCCCTCTGTTCATGTCTTACTTATTCTGTTTTTTTTTCTGCAGCCAAGGGATAAAGTAACAGATAAATCCAGCGCTAAAAGAACGGATCGTCTTTTGAACGATTTAGCCGTCACATTAGCCGTGGATAACATCTCCTTGAGACGACCAAGTCCTGATGTAGAGGACAAACATAGAAACTCTGATCGTAAAAGGCAACCTGCAGACAAAAATTCCCCATCTAAAAGGTCGTATGAAAAGTATCTAGACCAGATTAACGCGGTGGACCATATTGTCAGGGATGAAGATGTGCAGTCAGTAGATTCAAGTAGTGGTGGTTTGAATGCAAAGGATACAGTACTTGGCTGGTACACTACGGAAGAATCATCTGAAGGAGAGACAACCGCTTCCGAGAGCGGAACAATGTGCTTAAAAGGGCTCTGTGTAGGTGGAAATTATGACCAAGATGTCGACAGTGTGGCAGAAGCGTATGACAGAGTAGAAGGTTCATTTCATGCGGGAAAGAGCTCTTTGACTTTTGGTTTCAACTACAAGCCTCTTAAGGTCGCACTGGGACATCCCACAATTTTAGGCAATACTGGCCAGCACGCAAAAGAAGCCAAGAGATTTTTCGGAGGGGACAACACTAAACTACATGATAATTTACAGTATGCGACAGAGGCAACTTTTGCAAACACCACAATTCAGCCGTTCAGACCCTCCGCCAAAGTCTCCGAATTTACTGAAATAGAAACCAACTCTCCGTGCACTGTCGACAAGCTTGAGAAGACACCCGAAACGGTCAATGAGGAGACTAATGTGGATGAAAAGCTTAGTATAAAGGACTGCAAACAGCTGAATCTCTGCTTGGAGCACCCCGATTTTGAAGAAATACAGACAAACGATACTTTCATTTTCGATGATTTTAAGAAGACACAAAAGGAGAAGGCCAATGAAGATGCACTCGCTCTAAAAACCATTGGCATTAGATTGGTAAGACAAGAAGATGGAAACTTGCGGGTCAAAAATTGTCATTTTGTTGATATGGAGTTTTCGTCTGATGATCAGATATCTCCAGACGTAATGAAGTCCGGAAACGAATTTTGCTACAGTATAGATTCCAGCAACGTTGAGAACGAAATCGTTAATAACGGTAGAGAGGAGAAGTGTGTCAGCAGGAAAGCCACTCTGGATGTTAGAAGATCAAAGGAAACATTAAATTCGGGAGGCGTTACCTCGAGTGTTATTGTAACTCCCTTGAATCAGAACGTGCTAAGCACCTGTGACAAAGAGGACGAGAATGTCGGTGGAGGTACAGTAGACCAGAAAGCATACGACGTAGAGCCTAAAGCAGCGGACAGTAGCAGACACAACACTGCTAGTCTATGTTTACTCTCCACCATACCAAGCATTCATTCAGACAAAGTAAATCAAGATTGTCAAAAGGCCTTAACACAGAGAAGTTATAACATTAAAGACCGTAATTATGTTGGTGGAAGAAAACGGGAAAGGACTACTTTGGATGACGACCAAGTGAACAGCATTTATACTGAAGAGGAATTATCTAGCTATAACACTTCTAATGTTGCTGACCAGAATCAACATAAAAAACAGCCTTTAGGCGCTGACAACCTGGAAAAAGAAACAACGAACAGAGAACGTTTGTGTTTGGACAAAGATGATCTTGGTACTAAAGAGCGTGATACAGCTGGTGTAAGTAAAGAATTAACACAGGTAAATGACCCAAATGGCAAGAACAAAGTGATTCTTAAGAGTGACTGTGTGGTTCACGGCAAGATCATTCAAGAAGAAATCTGTCACGACAATGACGGTCAAGATTATAGCGCTATGATACAGGGATGCAATGTGGAGCGTAAGCATGAAGACAACAGTGGACAAGAGACAACGTCTGATGAACGTATTGATGACGCAGTCAAAGATATCAGTGTTAGTGACGTGAGTCAAGAAGTTGAGCGTAAGAAGGAAGCCACTTACAGAGATCAAGGGCGTTTAAAGAAGAGGGGTCCTGGTGTCATATCCAAAGAGAACAGAACCAATGACGTTTATAACATGAGGACCAAGGAAGGAGAGGGCTCTGGATCTGCTGTTTTGATTTCAGAAGAAGATGTGTGTGAAGGAAAGAGTAGCATTTCCACGTACTATGATAAAAACGGAATTCAAAAGCGGAGCAAGCAAAAAGATGTTGATTTTGATCACCAATTTGGAGGACAGAAGGGTGAGAGAAGGGCTTTGGGTATGACTGCTATAGATGACTTTGGCGTCAGTCATAAGGAAATTCAAATTGAGGATGTGAATTCATCAGATATTGTTGAAAAAATGTACTCTTCCCAAGATTTAACCGCACGTTGTAAAGGAAATTCAAGTTGTGAAGATCATGTTACCACCCAACAAAGAATTCATTCCTCAGACAATACAAACCTGTCAGTTAGCACGTGGAATAAGGATGAGAGCTGTCCCACGGTACACAGAAATGGTCTATCCAGTCAGGGAAATTTGCCCAGACGGAAATGTCATCCGGTAACAGAAATTTCCAAAGTTGATGTGGTAAGTAAAGTTACTGGTGTATCGCAGAAGATCTCAGAAGGTTGCCGAAGTTTCGATATACGCGTCCTAGAACGGGGAGATTGCTGTAACGTTTCCCAAGCTGATTCAGGTATCATTGACCGTTCGTGTTTTAATTGGTCACGAATGGAATCCCGGCAGTCGAATCTGGACGATAGTGATAAAACTGTCAGTTCATCCCCTGATACACGTAGCGTGAGTCATGGTCTAACGGAGAATAACCTTTCGGTCAGGGGGAATTTGGAACACGTTGAAATGGAAATCTCTTCCGATGAAGAACATAGGCCCAAACTAACTGATCCTATAACCAGCGTTGTCGACGAAGCCAGTGGCGCCAAACCTTACTCACCCAGTAGTCCTACTATGAAAAGTGACGATCAGTGTTCTCCTCAACCCAAGGATTCCTCTCCCTATTCCCCAAGTCATCCGACAAACGTCAGTGAAGGAGATCTGGATCAGAATAATCTAGTTAAAGAGTTAAGCTACCACGAAGAAGGGGCCGCGCATGGTGTAAGTACATCTGCAGACAGGAAGATCATTGCTGGTCCCCTCGAGAACAGTTTCCAAGGTAACAACGCCGGTCACAATGAACGTACCGTAACTGCGCAGGAGGTTAGGAATAACGGCATTGATATTTGTTCTGAAAGTCTCGTCACGGTGTGCTCAAAAACGTCTAAATCTGAATCTTTACGCAGCACACCAACTGTGGAAGGTGCTCTTGATGTAAACGTGCCAGTAGACGATGTAGCACAAAGTGGTGAAAGAAAGACCTGCTGTGAAAACGAGAGTGTCGATGACAGGGGCATTGCAGCTTCACGTTGTAACTCTTCACCTTATACCATAAATGAAAAAGGCCAGAAATCTTTGCTACGTCGCCCACAGAGAACACAGAGCTTACCCAATATTTCCACAGTGGTTTCAAAACCGAAAATTGTGTATATCTCTGCAACACGGTCTAAAGACTTTAACGCTCATGAAACGATCCCTTCCAAGACTGATAACAGTGTAGATAAAGCAATAAAATCCGACGACGTTAACTGTGTTAAAATACCCATTGTGACAACTTTTGAAATCAATCCCCAGAATTCCAGTCCAGAAAGCAAGCGACTATTTGCATCTAATGTGTCTTTGGAGCTACACGAAAGATCATCTTGTACATTTTCTAGTTCCCAAGGAACAAGTCAAACAACAGAGGTTACTTTTGAAGACAGCCTAAGTATGAACAAAACTGGTGAAGGCATAGAATTTGATCCTAACTGTGATTCGGTTGTTACTCCAGTAACATGTGAAAAAAGCGAGAGGAGGCCTATAACATCAAGGCGTAAAGTTGATCTAGATAAACAAGACGGTTGTCAAACTCACGAGCGTGCGAGAAAGATGGTTCGTGAGGGTGAAATTTGTAATAGAAAAGATAAATTCGATGAAGAATCTATGGTAAGAGCTACTGGTCAAGGTGTTCTAACGCCCCAAACCCATTCTGCTTCACCCTCTAGACCCGACCACAAAAGGTCCCACGAAGACGGGGATGGACCTCGGCCATGTAAGGTGCCAAAGAAATCTCTGAAACTCATCATACCGAGCCATCAGGTATCTGATTGTAATGCCACAGGTACACCACCACAAAGTGAAAGTAAAGGCGGTTCCTGCGCAGTCACAGATTTGTGCTTTGTTTCTGACTGGAACGGCAGTAAAGCAGACCCATTAAAAGAACCTGTGAATGTGACTGATTATATGATGGCCACTCGACCGCCCACCACTGTTACAGCAAATTCGAAGGCTGGTTTCATTTCAAAGAAAATCACAAAACCTCGTGCGAAAATATTGAAGAAAACCACCTCTCATACTGTCACTCGCGCAGACTTGGACTCTGTGTCGCAGCAAAACAGTTTGCCATCCAGTGAGATTGATAACGATGCTAGTGAAGACATTGTGACAGTTCATTCGTCATTGGAAATTTTGACTGATCTTCTTAGCAGCAAAAATACAGAAGGTGAAAGCAATTCGATTTCTCGAAGTGATAGTTTCGAAGCTACAAACAACCATGCGTCATCTTCGTCGACAAAAGACTCCTCGCATTACCAGCAAAACAAACATCTTTTAAATTCTGGTGAAAGTATCCGCACTGACGAACACAGGGAGAAGGAAACAGGGCTAGAACCTGATCAGATTGCTTTTAGGATGGAAAGACTTCGGAAGAAGAAAGAAGAAATTGAACAGGTGTAGTACTTTTGAAAGCCTTTTACTGTTTTTAATCAGTTGAATTGTTTAATGCTTTAACATCCTTAGTTTCCCTTCTCTGCGGTTCGAAGTTAAATCTAAAATAACGGAATGATGCAAAGTATTAAAACAACAAACATTGCCATTCAAAGTATTGTTTAAGTGCGTAATTACGTAATTTGCATTCAACGATTCGTCCACCAACCTTTTTTTTCGGAAGAAAAAAATGCAGCTGCTTTTACTTTTTTCCACTCCTGTAAACCGGCAAACCCTTTCAACCTTAATAGGCGCTGTAGAAAGTGCGAAGTCATTGTGAGCCTAGTTCATTTGTCTCCCAGGATAGCAACTGGTAATCAGATGATATTCTCGTTAAATTAGGAAATAATTTCACTCGTCACTGTTTGATGACACCTACTATGAGAATGAAGTGTTAAGCGTTTTGCAGTAAACTTGTTAAAGTCCCCATACAGTTACTTAAAGGCCGATAAACTATTCATGGCTTTATTTAATGTTAAAGGTGTACAAGAGAGAATGTCAGACGGTTATCAACGTTGTCAAGATGCTAGTAAGGTCAGTTGTTTTCAGTACCACCCATATGTGTAAGTGGTTCTCAATACTAAGTGTTGTAAAATCAAACTCTGGTCAATCATATAGTGTGGTTGAGAAGGAAACCTGAAACATTTAGGTTTAGACGAATCCTTACTGCAGTGGAAGAGTTGAGCAAATTGAAGGTCAAGTGTTTCGCTTTCGATTAGAAACAATCTGTTTTTGGTTGGTTCGGTTGATAACCTTTTCAACTTCTTCACAGCTCTGTGGAAATGTTTGAAAATGGTATTTCGCACGCAACGTCCTAATTTTTGCGCGTGAACTGCTTGAGCATAAGTTCCCGTTTACTTCGAGGAAGTATGGAATTAACTTTAGCCAGTGACAATCGCCTATCGACCCAAAACGTTTGAGAAAGTAGTGTTATTGTATTTTTATCTTATGGGCTGTTTTTATTTTTTAGCAATGACCCGAGATTAGAAGGTATCTTACAGAATGCTGTTCGTCGTAGTTTGCAAGAGATGGGGGAAAGATGTGTGCAAGAGTTAGAAAAAGAGGTTCGTCCTGGAATGTGATCATGGAAAGCAAGAACGTACTCGGCCATAGTCGACTTGGATATGAGGAATAGCGGGTCCAAAATCCTTTTTCAGTGTCTTATCTCCTATCTAAACTTCGACTCTTATATTGAGAACCTTGTCGGAAAGGAATGGATAGGGTTAGAAGACTACCTAAGCGGATACCAAGTCGGCTTCCAAACGGTAAAGGTTGCTCTCTAGAGGACCTTTTTTAGTACCTTATCGTTTGACTCGCCTAATATAATTTCCAACACATGTTTCCTGTCTTTTTTAAGGCTATATCTTGCAGTCTGCTGGTCAATTTCCTTGTCCCCAGCGTTCTTCGTATTGTCCCCTTGGGGTGTTATCAGCAACTAGGAAACGTTTTTGCAATGTCATGTTCTACATGAGGATAAAAAATTTGTCAGGTCACGCCAATGTGCCGTCCGTGTATGTACAACAGTTTTCGGTCGATTTTGGTACATTAAGGGAGATTATGTTAACAATCGGGTGTGCGTGGCATCTTGAGGCAAACCATTGCTGAAGAAAAAGAGATTTAAGCAGTGTTGTTCTTGATTTTTGAAATTTTAAAAGGCTCCTAGTTCTTAACAAGAGTTAGCTTTAATTTTCCTAAAGAACATTAATAAAGATTGTGGCTGGTAAATTCAGTCTGTTTAATTTCCCCACCCTTTTAAATGCTTTGGGTACACACCTACCATCTTCCAGGAAACTCGCACAAATGCAATATATATGCATTCTACGCATGCAGCAGGATTAGCTCAGTCGGTAGAGTGTTTGACTGCAGAGCGGGAGGTCGCGGGTTCGATTCTCGGGGCCGGACCATTACTCAGGGTCTTAAAATAACTGAGAAATGAAGGTACCTCCTTTGCACTGCAAGCGGCGAGAACTTCGCGTGGCTCGGATTACCACGTAACTGGCGGTCCCGTATTCTGTAGGAGACGTAAAAATAGTGTCCCCAATTCGCACTTTCGTGCTAAATATATTGACACTCAATGCATTTTTTTATTGTAAGATTTAAACAACAAAACATGATCGCAGAACTTTATTCAGATCGGATTGATTTGCATTCACACTTATCACATACCCAACTGTGCTGTACAAGTTTGACCGATTTACCTATCATCGAGAAATGGGAGGTGCGCAATCGAAAGCAAGGTGTATGTTTGATTTCAAAGACTCATCAATAATTCATGAGCTCAACAACCTATCACGTCCGCTATAATCCGTCACGTGCTCGTGTTTTAAACCCCGGTAAAACACTTTCAATCTAAAAAACCTGGGGGCGACATTTGATTTCAGTCTAAGGGGAGTGCTGGGCTGATTGTATTTTGCTTCACTGATATTCTTTATTTAAAAATTCATTCTCATTAGTATTCTTTACATAAAAAATACTAATAAGGATGACATTTTATTTCATTGCACGTGACGAATGAATATCAATTATCAGCACAGCAACTGACACAAATGGTGGGTGAATATTTAACGTTCTTTCAAAATAACAGACGGAGTAAATGTACTATTGCAAAATATTAAACTTTGTTCTTTCACCAACTTATACAGCCAAAAGTTCAGTGACACAGCAGTAATATTGGCTATAGCAGTGTCCAAGCGTTTAAAGCCCCGTGCAAACGGACGCAACATTGTTGGATGTTACATGTTGCGTCCCTTTGCACACTCTGTTTCATGTTGTGACGGAAATGTTGGGAGTTGTTGGCTGAAAAGTTTGACCGGTTTCAAACTTTGCGCAACAACATCCAACAACATGCAACAGGGTGTGCAATCGGACGCAACATGTAACATCAAGCAATGTTGGGAGTTGTTGGCCAACAATGTTGCGTCCGTTTGAGCGAGGCTTTATACCCCTATAAAACCCTCCCGCTCGTTTATTAAACATTGATAAAACCGAACGGAAAGTTTGTAGGAAGTGCATATCTTTGGAGAGGCGAATAAATAAGTGAAATGATTAAAGTTTTGCATCTTACGAATCTTCTTACGTTTAAAACACGACCGTCTCAGGAAAATTAGGCATTAGAGAACGCACATAAAATACGGTAAAATTCCGAAAGTAAGCCCCGGGGCTTATATTCTTTAAAGGCCCGTTTTGAGAGGCTTATTTTTGGAGGGGCTTATATTCGGAGGGAAATTTGCGTTTCAAAATCGATTGGGCTAGCTTTTAGTGGGAAGGAAATTTACCATTTTTTCTTTGTGTTACTTTGTATTCGAGGGGAAATTCCAAGTACAAGCCCCCCGGGGGCTTATATTCGTAGGGGCAATTTAACGGAGGGTTTTTTGCGTTACGATTTTGGGGAGCTTATATTTGGAGGGGCTTATTTTCGGAATTTTACGGTATTAGGAGCGTTAAAACGCTTCCGTTCCTCTTCCTTTCTGGGAATGTTGATGCTTGTTGTCTTGATGTTTTTAGTTTTAGTCACTTAGTACCGGAAGGTCACTGCTAAAAATCATGTAAACTTGCGTATGTGGGAGGGGAATGCTCGTCTTCAATTCAGGGTCACATAGCTGTATAGTCACCCTTCAATAGACTTTTCCAGGTTTTTTTTTTTAAGTTTTGATATTGACTAGTCAGCGAATATCCATTGACACTGCTGAAAAGAGCGCCTTAAAACTAAGAATTCGTTAGGTGATTCGTTAAAAGCGAACGAAGATATTGCTTTGCAAAGTCGCGAAATTTTACAGTCGGCCCTAACGTGCCCCCTACCATAAAAACGTGCGAAAAATTCGGCGACTTTGCCGAGCTATCTGTTCGTGAGTTGTCAACAAATCACGTTCAAACTTGGCATGTGTACTGATTTTTAAGTGTTCTTTCCAGCCTTGTTGACGGATTTTCGCTAACTGGTCCGAGTACCGTTGATGTATCTATTCATGTACTGCGGCGTGCATCACTTCCTTAATGGCAATGGAGACAATAACGAAGAAATAATATACAGCCCACAAAAATCAAAAATTATCATAAACATGTTTATTTCAATTCTAAATTGACCTTACTCTAATTACGTTAAAAAATACCGAGCAAGCCCGGAAAAATCGTCAACGCCGAATTATATCAGGTGTGTTTGGCGCGCTTTGCGGGTATCCACAGCTGGACCCTTTAATTAGGGTTTTTTCTCCTTTTCGATGAACCTTTTCGGAGTTATCGGTTTTCCTGGACTGGCTTATTTATAGTCAGCTAAGCTGACTGTACCTAACCTACGTCATTCACACTTTATAGCTTCCCACTAGACTCATTTAAATTGGTTGGTTAGAGTGACTTTCGTATGACCTTCAAAAATGGTTTCGGTAAATGTTTGTTATTTGTTTTATCAGCCAATGGATGAAAAGATCAAAACATGGACTCTTCGTTTTCCCGCCCAAAAAACCCCAATATGGCGAAGGCATTGTTCAATTGGCCAATAGTGTTGCAGTGTCTGCAGTATGACGTCAAAGCGAAGTATCGATTGATTTCTAGAAAGCTCTCGGGCAGGAAGTGTTTTCACCTGAGCGTTCGCTTAACCAACCAAAAACTACGCGCGTTTGCGTCCGTTCGATAAACCAAATAAATTGCTGTCTTTCCGTTAGTTTGTTGTTTCTGTTTTGTTCGCGCGTTTCATTTCAAGGTCATACGAAAATTGCTCTATAGGTATGATGTTTTGTCCTCTCTAGTCTGTATGTGTAAGATGATTTAAAATGGGTTGATATGGAAAGCAACACTTAAGTCTAGCCTATTTAGTACCTTTGAGCTATGTTTTAAACCTGAACAAGTACCTTTAAAAGCTTATTTATCTGAAAACTACTTTGCCAGATGCTATACTTTACAGTTATTCAAAACAAAGGTAACTTGCTGTACCGAGAACAATTGCAAGGTAGAAGTCGCACAAGGCGGTCTATCTATTAAAGGATAAATCCGTAATGGTTGATGAGCATAGTAGTACATGGAGGTAATGAGTGAATTGCAAAAGAGAACAACGCTTGTAACATAAAACTCTAGTTAAAAAAATAATTTTTTTCTCAACTTTCGTCGTGAATTGTTTTTTTCAGTCTAAAACTGGAACCACTAAATTAATAGGGACCTATTTATATACAATTTTTAAATCATATGCATTTATATGCAGTCCTGACTGAACGAGGAAATTAAGGTTTTATCGTACAAAATGTGCTAAATACATACTCTAATTCTCCAATTGTCCTGAGCCGGGTTGTTCAAAGCTGGGTTAAGGTAACCTTGGGTTTGCGAAATTTGAACTCAGATATGAGAGCTTAAAAAGCAAATTCAGTTTAATTCTCTTTGCCTTCAATTTGATGATTGGATACTCTAAAAAGAATGGAGGAAATTATCCGAGAAAGTGCTTTTGATAAAAATGAAGAAAAACAGAAACCCTGGTTAAAATTTAACCCTGCGTTTGCGCTAACCGGCGTGCGAACAACTGGGCCCTGGTGAATTTTTGTTGGCTAATCAGTCCCAAAATGGAACCAATACTATATATGATTACATATTTTCCCTACATTTTTAAAGAACACCTTACAGAAGGCAAAATAGGGATCTTATCGTAAAATGTGTTCAATTATGTGTGCTTAATAATTCCCACTTCCCCAAATATCGCTGTGTAGGGTCTTTTTTATTATTTATTAATAAATCCCAAGATGAAACCAACAGTTTTCAATTTATCATGAACGGAGCTAATCTTTGTTGTTAAGCGATAATGTCGTCTCAAAATCAAAGTCAATTTTTACCGCAATTGATCTGTTTTTCTTAACAAAACGAGGCAAAATGAAACTTTATCTTATGAGCACTAATTAAAAGCGAAATTCTTACTAGTCGCGAAGTGTTGTAAAATAAGTTTTGTACGCCAAAAAGATGAGTCCGCACTCTTAATAGTTGCACTATGGGTAGGGAAAGATGAAGGGAAATTTAAAAGTTTCTATCGGAATTCAATTCCAACTATTTCCTCCTCAATTAAGACATTTTACACTTTCTCTTTGATACGTGTAACTTACGCCGTGAATACAAAGAAACAATACACCAAATCTGCAGTGCATGGAAGTCCATGATCCGTTTTTAGAAAACTTTCTCCCATATATTTTCTGTCATTGTAGTACAGCCGAATTACATAAACAAATTTTATTTAAACATTTAAACACGGTCACAGTTAAAGCTACAAGCTTGTTGGCCGTGTATAACACACACAAAATCCAAACTGGTAAAATAAAATGTTATGTAAATAAAAGCATAATAACATAAATAACAAATTTAAGGGATTTTGACCCCTACGACAACCGGGTGAAAGGTCTAGCGTTACTTGCAGTATTGTCATCTAGTGTACTCGTAAGGCTGGTCCATACAATTGCCCCTCTGTGGGCGATAGAGCTCTTGATATTAAAACTATCGAAACAAGGAATCACTCCATTTCTGAAACTGTCCCTATTTCTTGGTCGTGCCGCGACTAAACTCTATTTGTATAAAGGCCTCGTGGTAAATTGCATATAATTCTCGCTGCCCTTCAGAGGATTGTCTCTAGTGCATCAAAGCCTTGCTTCAACACTAATTTATCGTTAATTTTCAATAAAGTGATTGTTGCTTTGAATCATTAGACAAGTAAAGTTTTTTATGCCAATAACATTTTAATTAAATCTTCTGCCCTTCGTTTGAACAGAGCTTAAATTCTTGGCCGGTTTTCCTCGCAAGAACCCAATAAATTACCAGGGGAAATATTCAACTAATTACAATCGATATAAGAGACGACTTTATTGGTTTAAAATTCTAACGCTAGCTAGAAAATATTTGAAGTAGTATTATCTTAGGAAGAATGGTGACTTCCACTTTTCACAATAAAGCTATAACTGCTAAGCGCCTGAACACGAAGCCAGCTTGTTTTTGTCGTACAAATACGCTATTAGTAATACTACAGCTATTACTACTACAGCTATTGCTACAGCTACTAGAAATACTACGGCTACCTCATTGCTCACCCGAAAGTTACAATCTACCCCCGTATCTTTGCCTGGAGGTTCTTTCCTTTGAGTTTCTGCAAGTAAATCGGTAAAAATAGCAAGGTGACATCTCGGCCAACTATGAGGTTGGTGACTTAATCACACCACGAGGTGACTAACTAAACAATTACTCGACTAAAACACAATACTCGAGCTTTCGTCGAGGGACTTTGCCATCAACCATTCTGGTTAGGGAATAAAGTTATTTCAGTGATGTACTTTTAATGAAAAGACTCCAAAACGCATGAGTTCAGTGAGTTTCGCTCGCATTTCACTCAAAAGATATAAAAGAAAACTAACCTATGTTGTTATCAACGCTAAGCTACAAGGAGGGACAAGTGTTGAGATACTTCTATAAAATGGCCCCTTTTTGAACAGTGGGCATACCTATCCCCTCCCCCTGTGTACGCCCACCCCCTCCCCCCAAAACCAATATTTTGAGGTACACATTGTTGAGCGAAGTTAGAATACTCTCAGCAGTAAGAATGTTAATTTTGAAGTCAATCAGGAAGCAATCCTGAGGGTATCAAATTGGTCATGACACAGATTTCTTCCATAGCTCGAAAGTAAGAGTAAAGCTCTCTCTTTGCTTTTGAATGTTCTACGATGGGTGTGAAATGAGACTTTGGTTACATGCCACAAAGAAATGGGAGTTTAACCTTCCCCTCTGGTAAAACAAAAACAAAAATATCTGTTACAAGCATGCAAATGTTTTAATTTAACCATAAAGAATACTCTTACTTTATGTTGGAGTGAACTTTGTACTTACCCCTTGATCCTGGAGAAGCGTCTCTGCGTACTTAAAGAGTAAAAAGTCAATGGGTTAAAAATAATTCCACCTGAAAGGCTCTACAGCACTACTGAGGTATCTACTCGAAGTCTTATGCTGGGCTTACACGCTCAGTCATAAACCAGGCATTATTCGGTCGTCTATGTCGGATAACAGGGAGCTTTAGCAACCACGACGACGAGGTCACTGAGATCGTCAAAAACATTTGATTTTATCAGCAAAACAACAGCTTTGCACATGCATCACTATTTTCGGTACATTCCATTGACTTCCACTGCAAGACTACGACGTGAAACTTCATAATGAAGGACGTGAACACACCACGACGAATTCTTCTTTCTCTTCTTGGAAGCCGTCCTGTAGTATTCAACTCCAAACATTTAACAAGCCAAGCGAGGCTAAATAAACGCGATGAAGAGAAAATGAACGCAAGTGATGTTTTCACTGCCTTTTTCGTCGTAGTTGCTTAATAGTCGGGTACACAGGAAACCAAAATGTGACACCCACGGGCATTTTTGTCTGATTTTTGGCAACACAGCTATTCTTGCTAACTAAAATACGCTGATCTGGAAAATCACTGTTGCCAAGCTCAATTCTTGTGTTAAGATGGTCTTTTTGGGCATTCATTATGACGTGATTGTCCCAATACGGTTTTCTTTCCTTTCACTAATTTTAACTTAAATTTAACCTGAAATGCCTTCAAATTGTGATACATGCATTGTAAAGATGGTTAAGATAATTTCTCACAGTTTTTACACTGAATATTAATGATTATTATTTATTCGAAATGTTTCTGATTGGCCAAAATCACACACATAAATCATCATAACCAGCTACTGTTGACAAATTTTCGAAGAATTTTACCATATCGAACCGATGACGTCAAAAAAGCAGCAAAGTTGCAGATCATTGAACATTTAATCGAGAAGATCTGGGGACGAGTTTGAGTTGTTTTCAAAGAGAGTAATGGCGGAACATTTCACTCGTTTCACGGCGAACTATTGTCTTCAAACATAGCAGGAACAGCAAGAAGACAACTCGACGGACGACATCTGCTATTAAGAGTATATTTGTAGACCGGAAAAGCCCTTTATATCCTAAACTTCCCGATAAAGATGAATTATCGATATGAACTTAACATCGACGCAGGTAAGCATGCTTTAGCTAGTTTTTAAAATTGGAATTATTTTGAATGACTAATAAAGCAATTATTGAATTCGGCTTTCGTTGCATAATTCTTCATATCCTACTCAACCCCATTCAATAACTGCTAAATTTAAGCCGTCAAGTGACAATCGACCAGGCCCTCAAAGAAACTTCACTTTGCTTGGGGTATTGCAAAGTTGTGGCATTTTGGTCAAAAACATTTTTATTGTTACAGTTGGAGATAAAGTCTTAGTATTTTCCCGTATACTGTTGAATCTCAATTTACTCTTGCCAGGTCCATGATGGTGACTGGTTACATCCATGTAAAATCATCACCTTCATCATCTACATTCTATGTTTCACTCCTTTCACGGGTTAAGATGACCTTAGCACATTGGCCTGCTGGCTGAAGTTGTTGTGAGAATCTACTTATCTAACCATCCTTAAGTATAAGGAAGTCCGGTCAACGTCAATATGGCGTCTTGGTTTATACATGGGGGACGGGATGGGCTTACTTTTGGCATAACAAGTCGTCAAAGGGTTTATTAAAAATTGAATAAAACTGGATTGACAGTGTTTCACATTAATGTAACGTTAAATTTCAAATATGTTGCGTAAACTAGTTAACTCCAACTGCTTGTACCAAAATTAAGAAATGCCATCGAAATGCCACTCCGGATATTATTGGTTTACAAATATCTGACTTACTCGTAGGACTGTCAGGTGGTGTTTCCGATTTTCTCCTTCTTATTTGCGATTCTTGTCCCTCTATGGAAGGGGTTGCTCGATTTCCTGCCATTGCTCCACTTGGTCTAATTCCATCACTATTGGTAAAACAACCATCATCTCTGCCTTTGGCTTGAGCCTCAACTGTAACCTCTGAAGAAGCATCCATACAAATAAGGAGTGCTTTCGCGCTTTGCATATAATGGTTTACAAATTACTGTGGAGTGGATAGTGAGGTTTGCAAAGCCCTCACACAATTCACCTTGATTGAATCACTGGAAAATGATAGGACATGCTAACACACCTAAAGATCTTTCATAAGTATTTATGCTTTTACGTGCGACACCGTATATCAAATACTATGTCTAATATTCCAGCTACGCCTTATTGCAAGTTGTGGAGATTTCATCACTTTCTATCGCTATAAAAAAAAGGGAAACGAACGAGCCCCAAACGTCCAGTAAGGTGCAGACTGTTTCAAGCTACCAGACATTACTCGGCTAACTTTAAAGGTTCCAACGAACTTTCTCGCATATTTCTAAATTTGCTATTCCTCTGTCCCTTGAAACGTTTCAAAGCTTTTCCAAACTAAAAGGTACCAATTTCACATCATTTAATTTAAGAGAAAAATATTTTTTACAAAGAAAAGAAGCCTTTTGTAGCGAACTTATTTAAATGGTCACATTTAAAGGTGTCACTTAAATAATGGATACGCTTTTCAAGTGAAAGGTCTTTTAGGTGTATATATAGGGCTAAGATAGTATTAAGATAAAATTGCAATAAATTTTAAATTGATGTAAAGAGGCAGTTTTAGCATTTACAAAGCCGTTCGCGTCGCTTCTCATTCGCGTAGTTGGTTTGTTTACGCCCCGAGAGAAACCTCTGCAGCGAGTCCTCTGTGGTTTCCGTTGAGGGTGCGGTTTAGGGCCTGTTTACAAGGAGAGAGGATTACCCTTGTGCTAGGGTTACCCTAGCAAGCGGGTTAAAGATAGCTCCGGTTTACAACCAAATTTCACAGGTAGGGTTACCCTATCACCCGGGTAAACTTTACCAGCTTTGTTGACGTGTTTCGTCATGCGAGACGTAATTCTTTGAAACGTCTAATATTTAAAATAAAATTAAAAGTTCTCTACGGAAAACACGTTAAAATTCACGAAAACACGGGAAAATATTATCATCGTATACGGAAAATACCCTTTATTGTTCAGATGTTTATAGTTTAGCTCAGAAATTGGATAATTCAGTTCAAATTGTCAAGATTACTGGTCACGCATGACGGAGGAACGTTGTCCCGGGTAGGCGAGGTATCCCTAGCAGAGCGTTTACAAGGCAGGTAGGGTAACCCTCTTGCTAGGGTAACCCTTGCACTCAGGTAGGGTTACCCTAGCGCTAGGGTAACCCTACCTGTCTTGTAAACACGTCTTGCTAGGGTAAACCTGGCTCCAGGGTTACCCTTCCTCCTTGTAAACAGGGCGTTAGGCACCTAAAGAATTGTACGTAACTAACAAGTTTAAAGACCGGATTTATCCAGTTGAGCAACTTAGACGCATTCCTTTTTGACTGATTTCTGTGCAAAAAGTTGTCCGCGTGAGACTTTCTCCAACGAGCGTTTCAAGGCACTAAAAATTAATTGTTTTATAATAGTCTTTAACTCCTTATTAGTCCGAGGCGTTGTATTACGTTGCAAATACTTTAAGCCTCGTTTCCATATGATGGTATCTGCTTTTCTCTTGATTTTGCGGCATTGAGAAGCTAGAAGAGTTCCCCGAAGACATAGTATCTTCGAAAACTTGATGTCACGGACTTTTTATAATTTCAAATAACCCACATACGCGCTGCGAACATTTGTGTCTTATTTTTTCGGCTTCAGCGACATCCGGGCCGAATTTATTCTCGATTACTGGAATAAAAGTGATGACTTCTGGGATAGCCTTCGATCGTCCCGATCGTCTCAGTCGTCTGAGAGCGTTTCCATATGATCGCTTCCAAATTTACATGATCGACCCGATCGTCCGGATAGAACTCAACTCTATCCAAGCGATCGAGGTCGTCTCAGTCGTCCGGGTCGTTTGCGATCGTTTGGGTAACGTTTCTATATGATCGTCCCGATCGTCTGAACATTTTTTGAGACGACTTGGACGATCGGGACGATCCGGACGATCATATGGAAACCAGGCTTTACTGTAAGAGCTCGTAATTAAAAAGCGGTTAAGTTTCACCTAGATTACTCCTCAGACAGTCTTTTGTTGTGAGAATATCGTCAAAACAGCGAGAAATAGTTTGGATAAAGCGATTAAAATATCCATGTTTCGCTGTCTGGAAATACTTGTCCGGAAATAGGACGAGTAATCATTTCACAAGTATTTTCAACAGATATATATTTCTTTTCCTCGCTGCAGAGGTTTCTCTCGAGGCGTAAACAAAGCAACTACGCGACTGACATGCGATGCGAACGACTTCGTAAACGCTAAAAGCCATGTACGATAGAAACCTCTCGAGGTATTAAGAGCCTTTGATCGATAAGCCATTAAAAGGGTAGCCACTGACCTTGTAGGAACTATCAGTCCACCAAGTGTCATGAAATGTAATGTAATTACAGAACATTATTACACTACACTGTGTTTCATTCTTGTTACCAAACGAGCCTTTGTGAGCCACTTTTAATTTACCTGTCCCATTTTGAAGATCTTCATTTTCAACGGGTTTTTTCATGTCGTCTTGTGTCTCTTTGGCATTATCGTTATTATCCAGTCTTCCAACGTCATGGCCCTCTACACTCTGTCTTGTGTCTGAAACAATAATAATATTATTACGCCGTCAGGTCAGATGATGTAAAAGCACTCAAATCGCGCTGAAACTTCGTTAAACCAAAGACAACGACACCAGGTAACAATATTTACACTTTGTTGATAACTTTTATCGCTTTTAGTTCACTTATTTCGTCTAAGTTTCATTTCCCATACAAACTCATGTTACGCTTGGGCCACCAGTGGTTTGGGATCTAGTCAAGGATGTTTTACATAAATCTCTTAACCCAAGAAAGGCTTTCGCTAACTGTAACAGCTTGTTTTGCTGGGCAAGTAACGTTAAAAACTCACTTGCCCAAAGGGTAAGTCATCTTGTAACTAAATCATAATCTGCCTGTATGTAGGAAAGGTTTTCGCACTTCTGCGGAATAGTTAACCAGTTCTTAAATGTACTGGCTGAGAATAGAACAAAAAAAAGGCGGTACGAAAACACCTTTATCAAGTGGGTATACTGATATTTGGTCTGTTCCAGTAATTAAGAGAATTTGAAAGTTATTGCGACCGTTCTAATTTCTGTTGCTGCACAAAGCTGAAGTGCTGCTACAATTAGGATTTAATGACTGCCCTCAAGGAAAAGTGTGAGGTTTGTCTCCCGAGAACCTCAATGTTTCCCAAGGAAGACGAAGACAAATTAAAGGCCAAATCAGTTCCAGGCCAATTAGCCGAATCATCTTTTCTTGAGTATTTCATTACATACACACATACGTATACTGTTCACTGGTAGCTATTACGACACCTGAAGGAGGATCATGAGGTTATCTCTCCTTACAGATAACCCATCCAGCCCAGGAAAGGTTGGCCACACCACCAGGGTCTACGTTCCCTACTCGGTTCGAACAGAGGTGTGGGATCTTTTACATCCCACAAGAACCAGATAAGTGAAAGTGCTGTGAGACAGGACCCTATCCCAGACGACTAGCAAGTCTAACCGTTTGCAGATGTCATTACAAAAGCAGCACTTTCTGCTCAGTTATGTAAAGACCTTGAGTGTTGGTCCCGCGATCTCCCGCCCAGCATTATTTCCTCGAATAATAGTCGTCTCTCGATTAATCGCCTTCCCTCGAATAATCGCCCCCGGCTATTAGGAACTTTAAGCAACGACTACGGAGGGGTCTAGTACGGTGAACGGAAGTATTTTTTCCCGCCACGAATCACTGTCTCACCTTCAAGGTACCACGACGGCTATAGCGGTCAAAACGTTGCTTTTTAATATAAGTGAATTGGCATTCTTTTTCGCGATAGATATTACAAGTCGCTTATTTTGTCAAATGTTAGCAAACGCATGGAGGAAAAAAGTTCGTCTTCGTTTGTTTACGTCCTTAATAAAACGTAAAGTTAGCCGGTATTTGCACGCCGTGGTCGTGAAGTGATGGCAAAGAAATGTTGACAAAACAATAAGATGCAAGTGCAAAGTTGTTGATTTGCTAATTAAACTTATTGACTGGCCGTACTGCGCTTCCCGAATACGTAGAAGATCATGGCTGGCCGTAGTGTCTAGTACGTTAAGTCAGTTGTTAGTTGCATTTTACGTGCTTAGAACGCCAGTGTATATTTGAAAAAGAATCGCAAGATATATGCATTTTATCCTTTTTTGGTCATCCTTGCAAATTTCTGAAGGCTCATTTTTCGATCATGACCCCCAAATTTCGGTGTCAAGCACAACGCCCAAGTGAAAAATACAGCCAAATATGCCGGCAAAATACAGTTGACGGGAAAGAGGATTTCATAATGGATATCACCTCACCAAGTGGTGTGAATAAGACTGATAAAACACAAGCAAGCCCTGAATTTGCCCATGAATCGCCCTATTTTCATGAATTTTTTGGGGGGCCGTAGGGGGTCACTGCACAGCTTCAACCCAAGGAAGAGTTCGCCAACATGTGTGACAGAGTAAGCGAATTAGAATAATCGCGATAAAGAATAAAAGAACGCGAATACACTTTTAAGCGACGTTTTCACCGTTATAGCCGTCGTGGTATCTTAAACCCCCTGCCTTGAGGCATTGACGGGTGCCGAAAAAAAATTACTACACTACTTTTCATCCTTGTTACCTGATAATCCTTTGAGGGCCACTCTTAATTTCCCGTTTTCAACGGAAACCTTGTTCTCTTGTCTAGGTTGTTTCCCTTTGCCTTTGTCAGCAGATGCACTCGCACCATTATTTCGGTTTGGAAAGGCTATCTTTGAACCACCTTGACCTGGTATTTCCCCAAACACTGTACTCCTCCCTGAAAAAATTGCGTCTTCTTCTCTCGATCCACCATTAGGCAAGCTGCTCTTACTTGACTCTACAGAGAAGAAGACCGTCAGTGAACAACGTAAAGAAGGCATATAGCTCAGACTGGAAAAACATTAATTTACTGCAAATAACCTAGCCTCCCACGCAGGCGATTTTAGGGGAGCTCGTATTTCTTCCCTCCCAAGGGGGAGGGAAGAAATACGAGCTCCCTAAAAACGCCTGCGTGGGAGGCTACAAATAACCCATTCATAGACAAATCTCGAGGACCACTGAAGTCTAAAACAGTTAGAATTCGTTTAAAATAATTGGCCCTTCATTTAACACCGAACGTAAGTGGTTACGTTTCACGCTAGCTTTTCAGATGCAACTTGCCCCAGATCTTCACCCATGCTGGTTTCCCTGTTTTCAATCTTGACTGACCCAGACCTCCTTCTTCCTTGGACTGGGATTTAGTCAAGGATGTTTCCATAAATCTCTTAATTCAAGAAAGGCTTTCGCTAAGTACAGACCCAATTTGACCCAAACACCTTATATTAGTCCAGGTATCTGCTGTACCAAGCCGTTTGATTTATAAAAGAACAGTTGGGATGATTGCCACAGTCCACAACAATAGAAAAAGTCACAAGTAAAAGCTAACTTTTTATGTGGTTACAGTTGCTATCCTTTACACTTGGCAGAATTTAACCTATATGCGACTGTATTCTGGCAACACATTTTTAACATCGAGCTATAAAACAATTACCCTGCGAGCAGTGGTTTCTCCAGGCCGGACGCTACGCTTCGATGGGAAAGAAACCACTGCGAGCAACCGTTTACTTTTCCATCGAGCATGCGCGTCCACGTGATGACTACGAATATCCAATGACAAGACGGCAACGAGAACTTCAACAAAACAACAGGTTTAATAAGCAAAACACCAACTTTGCACGTGCATCACGCTTTTATTTTTGCATTTCTTTGCCATTTTTGCACGACTACGACGTGAAGATGCCAAATTTTGCGTTTTATGGATAACGCAAACAAGCAACGACGAAATTTATTCTTCTTTTCGCTCTTGAACTTGGATATGGTCCCTTGGAATACAACTCCATTTGGGTTCGCCTGCATTTGACAAAGTAACTGAGTAGATAGGAATAAATAAGCCAAAGAAATACTGAATATCCACAGCAGGCTCGCGTTAAGGCAGCAATGTAAGGGTAAGCAAATGCGCGAGAGCCTAAACTTGCTTTCAAACAGGATTTACATGTTTAAAGTTAATTTATTCGTCCATAGCGCTGGACGGCGGCTCGATCAAAGAAGCAGACGGATACTCGCAGTGGTTTCTCTCCCTTCGTATCGTAGCGTCCGGCCTGGAGAAACCACTGCTTGCAGGGTACTTACATTTACGCCTGCTGCCGTGAAAACCAAGTTTTACAGCATTCGAACTAAAAAAAAAAAAACAGGTAATTCTTCAAAGTACCAGTTAACGCTTTCCAGTCAGCTCCTCTCTCCCCTGCTTCTTCATCAGCTTCCTCAACACCTTCAATCGAGCCAGTAGACTCTACAGTAAAGACAGTCAGTGAAATAGTGACTTTTTCCTTATAATCCGGCAGACCCCAAGACCAAAGCCAAGCATTTAACCAGGTTGGTTTGTCATGTGTTTTACAATACACGACCCAGACCTCCACTTGGTTGAACAATAGGTTAATGACAGCTAAGAAGTAACTGCATTGTAGATCAAAAAACATACAAAAAAATCTGGAAAATGAAAAGGGCTAATGAAACAAATAGGCAAAAAGTAATATTTTTATTACAACTACGAGTTTGGAAGGAACAGACATTTTTTGCCACGTACACCAAACCCATATGACCCCTAATATCCATTTGGCAATGTCACGTTTTTCGACACCGGATATTTGAGGCCGGTTGTGACCATCAGAGTTAAAACTGCAACAAAAAATTCATGAGGAATGCGACAAAAGGGAGTTAGATTTCATTTCAACAAAAAAAGACTTAAATCACTTCAAGGTTTTGATACCCTTTAATGCTTGCTTATGTCATTTGTGTTGCTACAGAGCCACAGAGAACCTGTGAGAACCAAGCTTTAAGGCATTTTGTACAATAACGAATAAAACTCTGGGCCAAATTCCTCGAAGATCGATTTACGTATTAGTATTAAAATCATAACCCAACACTCGATTTGCCTTCTTGTAGATTGCTCAGGACTGTCATTTGGGGTTGAAATAACCGGGTCTCTGAGTAACGGTTCGGCAATATTTTATAAGCACCATCAGTAACTTATTACTAGAAGGGAAAATTTGGCTTAAAATTTGGCTAAATCCTGGTTTAAAGTTAACCATCTTTCGATTAACCAGGGAATAGTTTATATCAATGCTGTGGCAGTCACTGCAGTAAGACTGACAGGAAATCCTTTGATAGTCATTAATAGCCTGCGATGATGCCCTCTCGAAATAAATGCACAAATTAACTTAACACTAAGAAGTAGCTGAATGAAGCTAAGAATTACTTCTTTATTTGATACACTTTTCCCTCTGAATGTCACTGGCATTATAAAGTAAAAATCCTCTACAGTAGCAACGATGATAATAACTACAGTTATGCTTAGTAACCTGTTAAATATTTAGCTCTTTGCAAGTAACAGTTAAGGGAATATCAGCCAACAAAAAATACAAAATTTCTGGTGGCAAAAGAGTGGATGAGTCCATAAAGTAAACTTTCGAGTTTTTTTTACATAGCCTATACTGTCCCCTCAAGATAAAAAGGACACTCGATTAAATAGAAAAAATATCTAAGGCTACTCAAATCAACGTTGTTGTCAGGCTCACCTTGAATTGGTAATATTTCATCCTTTGAAGGAATATTATCCTTCTTTTTAGATTCATTAGTTCCTTCAACCAAGGTTTCCTTACTGCTAGAAGTCTCTGGCTTGCTGCTGTTGCCTTGCTTGGGTCTCTTTGGAATGGCACCAGTTCCCTTATATGGGTCAATTTGCTTGAGACAGCCAGCTCTACTCCCTCCCAATTGTGCTTCAACTCCGTTGGCACTCTCACTTTGATCTGGCTTTCCGTCTCTGGATAATTTACCATCCAATGCCCTCCTAGGAGTAATTGCGTCTTCTTTTTTCGATTCACCTTTAAGCAAGCTGGTCTCGCTCGACTCTACAGAGAAGAAGACCGTCAGCGAACAATGTCAAGAGGGCATATAGCTCAGACTGGAAAAACATTAATTACTTTAAATAACCCATTCATAGACAAATCTCGAGGACCACTGATGTCTAAAACCATGATCTGAGTAAGAATTCGTTCAAATAATTGGCCCTTCATTGAACACCGGACGTTAGTGGTTACGTTTCACGTTAGCTTTTATGCAACTTGCCCCAGATCTTAAACCATGCTGGTTTCCCTGTTTTCAACCTTGACTGACTCAGACCTCCTTCTTCCTTGGACTGGGATTTAGTCAAGGATGTTTCCATAAATGTCTTAATTCAAGAAAGGCTTTCGCTAAGTACTGAGACAATTTGACCCAAACACCTTACATTAGTACAGGAATCTGCTGTACCAGGCCGTCTGATTTGTAAAAGAAAAGTTGATTGGGATGATTGCCACAGTCCACAGCAATAGAAAAAGTCACATGTACCAGCTAATTTTTCATTTGGTTACAGTTCCTATCCTTTACACTAAGCAAAATTTAACTAATATCAGCGAGTGCAAGAGTTGATTTAGATTTAGACGAGAGTAAAGTTTAAGAAAAGATGTGCGCCGCCACAAGGAAAACGTACCTTGGACATTTTAATCGATATGAAGTCACGACATGCGCAACGAAGGACAGTAATCAAAGGAATTGATGACAGCACAAGGATACTTTTCGCAATTTGTAACAGAAAATGACAACACAAGAATGCTATGCCGATTATTTCAAGTTTCAATCCGTTTCCTTGTCTTTGTTTAGGGCAAAAGACAACCGTAAATAATTTCACGGCAATTGTAAAAACTTGCCAACAATATAGGAATAATTTACTACTGTTTTCATTGTTGCAAGCACATCATTAGGTTTTCCATATCTCGTGACAGTGCTCCTTAACTACGTTTTATATTTTGGTATAATAATCAGCAGTAGATTTCATGTATGACTAATATGTCCACTGAGGTTGATCCAGGCTCTCGTGCGGTAGTCCGGGACAAGAAGATTTTTTTTGCTGGGCAAGTAGTTTTGAAAACTCACTTGCCCAAAAGATAAGTCATCTTGTAACTAAATCATAAACTAAGACACACAAGCAGTGGTCCTAGGCAAGAAAAATGTAAGAACTGCTAGTCGAAAGGAAAACTTGTAAGTGTTTTTCGAGCCCTGTATCCTCACTGGAAAAAGCATTGAGATATAAAGTGTAAGCACAAGAAGAAAAGAAGGTTTTGATACTCCCCCGCTTACGCTTGTTGCGATAAGAACCCAGTCTTACGGCATTTGAACTAAAAAGAAAAACAGGTCATTCTTCTCAGTACCAGTTGGCGCTTTCCAGTCAGCTCCACTCTCCCCTGCGGCTTCGTCAGCGTCTTGACTACCTTCAATCAAGCCAGCAGACTCTGCAGGAAAGACAGTCAGTGAAATAGTAACTTTTTTCTTAGAATTCGTCGGCTCCTAAGACTAAACCCAGGCAGTGGTTCTTGTTGTTTTTTCCTTGTGTTTTACAATACAAATCAACGTTGTTATCACGCTCACCTTGAACAGGTACTATTTCACCCTTTGAAAAAATATCACTCTTCTCCTTAGATTCATCAGTTTCTTCAGACAAGGTTTCCTTACTGCTAGAAGTCTCTGGCTTGCTGCTGTTGCCTTGCTTGGGTCTCTTTGGAATGGCACCAGTTCCCTCATATGGGTCAATTTTCTTGATACAGCCAGCTCTACTCCCTCCCAATTGTGCTTCAACTCCGTTGGCACTCTCACTTTGATCTGGCTTTCCGTCTCTAGATGATTTACCATCTTTTGTACTAATTACGGGAGAAATTGCATCTCCGTTTTTCGATTCCCCTTCAGCCAAGCTGCTCTTACTTGACTCTACAGAAAAGAAAACCGTCAGTAAATCATCTTTTTTACTAGGCATTAAGAACAATTACCTTTCTCTTCTCTTTGGTGACAAAAGAACGATTAATTTGTTTAAGACTGAATTATTTCAAAAGAGGCTGTAATGCCAGGTAAAAATTGCAATGTGCTACAGATTCAATTTTATCCAAAAAAAATTGTGAGAATGTGAAAAGACTTCAGCATTTTATTTACTGGTCAACAAGCAACTCTGTATTAAATAGGAATTAAATGTCTCTTGTAAATACATTTTAATTGTTAGTCGATGATACGACCAACGTGAGTTAAGGGTGCGTTTTTACTGGGAGAATCCAAACACGGATTTATGATCTCAGATCATAAGGATTCTTCACTACTACAAAAAGGAGGATCCGACAAAGGATCATTTGCCATGACAACATCACGTTCCTGTGTTCCTCGTGTTGAGAAAAACAGAAGAAACATATACAAATCCACACTGATCCTCGGGGCGAAGAGAAGAAGAAAAAGCTACGTAAATTACATATGGATATATGAGATATATATATATTTTGGTTTGAAACACAAACGTTTGTCCGGGGCTAAAACAAAATGAAATACACGTTAGGATCATAAAATTCTAAGAATTTAAAAGTGACGCCGATAACTTGATTTTTTTTTCCATTTACAAGGAAAATATCCGTAAGCAGACGCTACAAAAGTACGAAAAAATGACAAGTAAGGGGCTAAAACGGTCTACGAGCTGACAAAAAAGATGACAAAAAATGGAATGATATATAAGTAATGGAAAAAAGGGGTCACCATCGTTCGGAAAATCACTTGTCAAAAAGACTTTTTTCAAATCCTACCCCAAAAATCCTGGTTTAGATTTGATCTGAAGAATCCACCTCGAGTGTCACGGATTTTATGGATTCATGATCCGTTTTGGGATTTGACCAAATAAACGCACAATCGGTTTTTGGATTCGAAAATCCGGATCTGGATTTTCCCTAAAACACGCACCCTAAGTCTCATTGACATTAAAAAAGGCAGCTAGGCATGTTCTTTAATATTTTTATTATTCTCTCCAAATTTGCCATACAGCATAGCAATCATATGGCAAGCATGTCTCAATGGAACAGTCTTCAGATTGGAATTTTGAACGGAAGTAATGTTTCTACGCACTGAATTTCAATTGGAGAAGTTTCAGTTCTGGATTTCAAGAAGGTCTTAACCCCAGGTGTATTCTGTAGCAATTTTAATTTATGAAACAAGAATACTGTCACACTTTGTAACACTTTTGCACTTTGTAATTAAATGTACTTGTGAGAAATCATACACTGTGTGAACTGAAGAAATGAAATAAAATGAAAAAATTAATGATTTGATCACTAGCTGGATGAAGGATTATTTCGTTACAAAATATGTGACAAATAATTTATTTCTAAACATCTTTTTGAATGTCATTGCCATTACATGTATAAATCCTCTTTAGTAGCAACTATCAGCAGGGTCTTGTTTGCTTCCCTCGCTCTTTACGACACATTTATCAAAGAAACGTTTGAATAACTTTCATTAATTTTACCTGCATCTGAATTCAGATCCAAACATACAGTCTGTTTGCTAAGCTTAGTGTCTACAGAAACACAAATTAAAAAAAGGTCAGCACCTAAACATAAGGGAAACAAGGGGTCTGAGTCAGAATAATGTGCACATACAGCTTTGATTTACCCCAGAAGGTTTCAACCAATAGAAAACATTTGACTAATCATAACAAAGTATCTTGTGCTGCCCAGGGAACCGGTTTGTGTGTGGGGCTTCATAATAAACTTTTCTTACAATTTGCTATGCAAAGGCATACAGTGTCAAAGATAACTCTTTCCAACTTGCATGGGCATACTTGTTGAAATATGTCTTCATATGTATTCAGAGCGACATCGCTTCTTTGCAGACTTTTGTTTTACATTTACAACAAAAGCAGGGTTTGTCCCAAGCTGCACCAGAAAAATTCCATCCGAAAGAAAGCAAATACCTCCCCCCATTTTCACACAATACTTTTAAGTACAGTCGACTCCTGATAACTCGAACCTCAAAGGGAAATCGAAAAAAGTTCGACTTATCGGGACCTCGAAGAAAATAGCCGGGAGTAAGGAAAAAAACAGTTTTTACTGCACAGTGAACATTTTAATCACAGTTAAGGTGTTTCGATACAGTTTTTCAGAGGTCATACCGATATTTTTCAGTCTCCTTAAAAGTGTTTTTTTTTCTTTGTCTGATCGCTATAAAATTTTCACCAATGATTGACTATAGATTGAAATTTGTCAAAATGTAGGTTTTAGTAAAATCGATATTACTATGACAACAATAAACAAGAAACTTTGAAATTGATAAACGCCTCATTTTACGCGATCTAGACCAGCTACTGAAGATCCAACACCAGGAACTTAAGGTTTGGTGTTTAGAGAATAACCTCCGTAAGAAGTAAAAAATTCTGTATGTTTGAATTCGACTAAAACGAAAATATATTTCAAACCTTACATTTTCAATAGCCGAGATAGATTATTTAATAAAAACGTTCTAAATCACACAAATTATTCTTAAGTAGCGTCAGAATGCTGCTTAATATCATACTTCGATGCTAGGAAATTTGGTGTATTTTTTGCGATCTTAAAAACTAACCCGTTTTCTCACCACCTGTCTTAGTGCAACTTCATTCAAAATTTGGACTTTTAGCGCTTTTTTGTATATCTCTGAAACGACTCGAACGAATTTTTCTAAAACCTCTTCATATAATCTTCATAATGTATATAATAATGTCTGAAACTTTCATCAAGATTGATCCACTGCAACTCCTTGAAATTTCAAGACTGTTTCACGTTAGATTTGTGACAAACAAAATCAGCCTCCACTAGTAAACTATATGCCTACAACACGTCAATGGGAAATTCAAAATTCAATGTTTCGCACGCCAGTAGACTGTTTTTTCAGACTTTTTAAGGGCTCAAAACATGGTTCGAGTTATCGAGGGTAAAATTGTATAGAAATTATCTGGGGGGGGGACTACTTCGAGTTAGTGGGAGGTTCGAGTTATCGAGGGTTTGCGTTACCGAGGGTAAAATTACAGTAAATGTATAACGGAAATCCAGGGGAAGCAGATTTTGGTTCGAGTTAGCGAGGGTTCGGGTTATCGGGGGAGTCAACTGCATGTTGTGAAAACCTGACACTGAATTTCTTGTATACTGTAAACAGAACTTTTTTTTGACAGGTAGGAGAGAACCCTGGGAGCAAGGTTGCATATAAACCATGAACGATAGGACCTAATGGATTTACGGGTAAAACTTTATTAGCATTGCAAATTTCAAGTTCTTTCCAGAAAAGGTTACATTATTGATGCTTTTCTTGAGGTTGCATTTCAAAAAACAGGTCAGACGGTTCCCAGTTTTCTTGCTGATAAGCCCACAACGTCACCTGGGCAGGGCACATCAGAGATCTTTACAGTTAAAGAGCGTAGCCATATCGCTAACACACACTTAAAAATCATGAGGATAGGACCGAAAAGCTTTCTTGGAAGACATAAAAAGACAACGGCATGTCTTTAACAAAGTACCCTTGGGATTTACGTCCACATGAGCAGCTTGTGACAATGTAACCTTTTGTGGAAAGAACTTTGATTTGCTTTGCTAATGAATGTATAAGCGACGATTTTTTTTTCAATCAGGTAATATATACATACAATACACATACCCAAAGCTAACGGTTTGTGGAATGGAACAATACCTCACCAAAAGTTCTTTGAAAATTGTACTCTCAGATTGAAAACCAAAGTTCTCCACAACCACATATAACAGGCCCTTTAAATTTACATACTGCATTCAGGTTAATACACTGACTTGATTAACAAGCAAAAATTTCTAAGGATAGCTATTCAACTGCAAAATAATCAACATTGTTGCCCATTGTTACACCTACCAGAGGAAATATCATCCTTCTTCTTAGACTCTTTAGTTCCTTCAGCCAAGGTTTCCTTACTGCTAGTGGCCTCTGCAGAAAAAAAGGCATGAGTGAAATATAGTCACCATTTTTATCATTTTACTTAACATTTATATGTATTTAGCAGAATTTTTTTTTCTCTTTTTGATGATCATTCAATTACAAGGCTTTAACTATTTTTCAGCAAGGCCGGAGAGAATAACTGTCCTTAAAATATCCCTCGTCTATGCAGGTGCTGTTTAAGTAACAGTAACTGACTACAAGTGCTTGGCGGAAAAAGACGCTTAAGTGAAAATTTTGTTCGAAATAAAAAGTTACTAAATTCAAATCACCAAATTTGTCCACAGGTTCTTGCAATGGGAAATTTTAAGCTGAGAGTCAGAGTAAAATGAAAAGATATCCAGATCTCTGAACAGAAAGCGTACAGTTTCTGAAAGTAGTATTCAGTTTGCTAGGAGCACTGACTACATTCACTGAAAACGCACAATATGCCTCATACACTGTACTTGTTTCATAAAAATAACAGAGTTGAAAAACTAAAGACAAACCTCTCTCATGTATGCAAGAAGTTCCTTAATACTTTGAGTATAGGACCACAACAATGGCACTTAACTATGCATTATTTTACAAAGAACAGCACTTCTCTAGAGCAAGCTTCAAATGAACAAACAAAATATTAGTTTCAAAGCTTAGTTTGGCAGTTTTTCCGAAACATGCTAACTAGTCCCATGCATCATGATTTGCTTTGAGTTTCAATGCCTGCACTGCATTATGGGAACAGACTGAAATTTGGAATTGACTCAGTGCCACCATTTTGTTTCAAAAAAAGAATATGCTCCTTGGTGATTGAAATAATGCTCACATGCAAGAATTCTGCAATTTTTGAGCAATTTTTCACTTTCAGCAAAACCAATCACTTAAGCCCAGCTTTTTCCTTGCACCAAGACCTTCTGTTATACACCAACAAAATATAAAGGGTGCATCACATTTGTCTTACCTTAGAAGAGAAATACATAAAATAATATTATTATAAATATACAGTACATATATTATTGACCAAGCATGAGGCTAAGATGGCTGGATATTGATCAAGCCCTAGCTATTGTTTCCATTCTATATGCAAGCAGAGGATGTTTGTCTGTACATGTATGTTTGAATTTTTAATAAATTTAATTTGTAACTTCTATGGAGTTCATTACCACGACAATAAACTTTTAACACTCAAAAACACTCAGTGCTTTTATGGACAGAGATGAAGGGAAGGTCCACTTAAAAAAAATGAGGCCAATATATACCCAGCCATCTTGACCAAACAAGCTTGGACAGGCACAATTAATAAAGGATTTATTACATGGCCAAAATAAGATCTTTTCTTGCAGGATAAAGCAGGCGATCCCAGCAAGTTTTTCATGATCCCCGTCCATAAAATGTAAATTGTACGATGTACACTGCATGCTTGTTTGTGTGCAAGCCTTGGAATGAAACGATTGTGACATACTCTGTGCTGTTTTTGCAATACAAGTTTGGAGATGTAAAACTTTGTTCCCAGTTAAAGCATATAACCTCAAAGTCAATGGGAACTTGGAATAAAACTGCTCATAAATATTTAATTGTTATTGATATTCTTTGTATGAATGAATTTTAACCAAAGGAAAATGAACCTTCATTTGCTAAAAAGAAATGTTCTTGTTGTCAATAATAAAACACTATAGAAATTAACCGTAAATTATGAATACATGTATCTAAGGCTAAAGTCCTTAGTGACTGTGTTACAAACTGAAATGATTGCTTCCTTAGGTTAACTGTTTATACATTAATTCTATTGACCAATATTTTCACAAAAATGAAAGTTTACTTCCTGTTAATGAAGGGCAAAAGGTGTACTGAGTGGCCACCCTGACTGTTTACTAGCAGCTAGTTACCAATGACCCATGAGTGAACAAAATGCGAGAAAATCACCATAAACAGAACCTCTGTAAATTAAACGGCCAACCTTTAATAAGCACCCTTGGTGGTGGCTTTAGCTGACGATTAATTTTTTTTTGAGAAAACTAATACTGCAGGAAGATTTTAGTCACCCAGCCTTTTAATTTCAGGTAATTGTATGAGTATGAATGGACCCTTTTGCTTTTCATGTGCCTTATTCTAAGAGAAGTTAAGTTAAAAAACAATTAAGAGACCAGGTATTCTATTTAAAAATTGCTTCAATATTGCATCTCAGCCTGTGTGATGGGTGGTTTTTAGTCAGCTGTTGTGTTAAAGGTGGCTGGATTGTTTTGGGGCAATAATCACTTCCAAAGTTTAAGCAACAACTATGCCACCATTATTGGTGGTACAGTGACTAGAAAATACTAATAAATGCAATAATTTAGCAAGAAATTGCTCCCAGTTGTGTTGGTTCATTAACAGGTAAACCTAAATACCATCATTTTTAAATGAGGGGGCAAGGGGGGATTTAATCTCGAGTTCCCCAACAACAATTTTGGGTTTCATGAGTCCCGAAACAAATATTTACGTTTTCACGCTTTTCAAAAATAGAGGTCGTACAAAATGTCAAAAATGTTATGTTGATCCGATTTTGTAAAACAGAGTGCTTCAATTATATTTTAGCAAGTTAACTAGCGTTTTACAAACCTTACAAAAAACACAAAGGGGTTATAAATTCCCTAGGGAAGCCAGCTATAGGTGGGTCTGAGCACACTGAAGTGTGAAGTTATATCAAAACAGTGGCAGATCCAGACTTTCATTTAAGGGGGGGACCTGGTCATCCAGAACCTGAGATAAGGGGGGGAGGGGGGCCGGTGTCCAAAAAATTTTTTTCAGCCCTTCAGGCCTCAGTTTGGTCTAAAAATAAGGGGGGGGGGCTGGGTCCTCCAGGCCCCTCCCCTAGATCAGCCACTGCAAAAGACTCAAAAGTGAAGTTAAATCAAGCCACCAGAAGTTAGTTAAGGTCGTTTGGCCAAATTAACGATGTATTTTCTTCCATTGATCTTCAATGTAAGTGTAAACAATCAAGGTTTTTGGCAGCTCAGGTTTCACGTAGTGCACTTCAGTCACCACTCACAGAACAGTTTTTCAGTAGATCACGATTCCTGGACACCAAAAATGGTCAATCACAGCATCAGGAAAATAAGCTTGCTCCCCCTCTTAAATGGAAAGAATAAAGCATGAGCTTTGTGGACAACACCATCTCTGTTGTTAATAACAGGGAGGGAGTGCCGGGTAGTGTTCTAGCTGGAGCCCGGTGGCCCCTGATGCCTAACTTTTGCTCTCAGGCAACTAGGAAATCTTAGTTTTTTCAGCCAAATCATATGCTGAGCACCCTGGATTTTACAGGTTCAGAGAATTGGGCTTCCTTCAATTTTCCTTAGAGCACAGCCTTAGAGTAGTGTCTAATTTGGTCTTTAATATCATACGAATTACTCCTTAATTTTGGCACGAAATTTCAGGGATAATCTGCAATTACATAGCCATGGCAACCTTCCATACGTCTCAGTGTCAAGATGGCAACAAAGATTTAAAATGTCATGAATGAAGATGCCAGGGCATAAAAAGACGCTTTAGAAAACCTGAACACACAAAACAGCACATCAAGAAGGATTCTAACAGGCATTGTGTCGAAAAACTCTGAACTTAAGCCAAATTTTAAGCTCTAAACGTTTGAGAGAGTGGAGTTCTCGATTGATATGATCCAGGATAAACGTGTCAAAAATCCAAGATTGCTAACATAATTCCTCACCCATGATATTAATAGGTAGTCAAATGGTATACTCGTGAAGTTAGGGAATAATTTCACTTGCATTTTATCCAAATCCTTATAATTTCCCGAGCCTTTTGGACACCATTTTCACCATTTGATTACACATACTAATCATACAAGTGACCAACAAAGTTAGATGACTGTGTAGCTGGAGTGCAACTTTTTTTAATCATAAGTATATTTCTGATGACATGAGGTTCTGTTACCAATTAATCATAACTATAACAAAATAATTTTGTGATAATTATTTTAAGCTTTTTTAAAAAAATCTCAAAATCTTCCAGGAGATTTTTGCTACACACGAAAACAGAAAATCTAGCTATTCGAGAACATGCGTGGGATGGTGCGTATTAACTGTCCATTAAACTACATTGTCCTTTTATTTAATGCTGAAATCTGGGCTGCTGATAGCCAATCAGATTAGAGCATTGTGTTGCAGTTATGATTAATGAATGTACACTGAAAATTAATGTTAAAGAATATTAAGATGCTGTGAATGTTTCTCTATTCTCTTGCATTGACAGATTGTCATTTCCATAAACTTGAAACTAATTGTTGACACTAAAATAATGTTTGCCTTTATTGACCACAGGAAAATTAGGATAATAGTTTATTTTTCTGAAATGAATACATACCCATTTTACAGTCTAATTTTTGATGCTAATGAAAATCTATTTTCTGGTAATGAAGGGCAAAATGCTTAATAATAGAGGTTCAAAAAGGTTGCCTGGGTAGAAGGCTCGGCCTCTCAGCTGACTCAAATTTAGCAAGTATTTATATGGGAAAAAAGTTTACCCCTGTGCCAGAGCAAACAGCTCTAGCACATTCTCTGATTATCTTACACAGCACTCGCACATACTCTGATATTCTCGTCTTGAGCAAGTTGATTGACCCAGCTGGTAGCCTGAATTTCAACTATCTCCTCAAGTCGCTAACTCCCATGAAAGTTTTCTGAATCAATGAGCCACTGATGCAGTCCAGTGACATCACCACCCCAAAAACCAGATAGTGATTTCAGTTGGTTGATTGTCCAGATATAATTATGAGAAATTCTAGCTTCAACCAATCGTTGGGTGGATCATTTCCATCCCACGCGGTATCTGTCGCATTTGACCGCTGGAATTTTTTATTGCATGCCGCTAAAAAAAAACAAAATAATTCAAAAGGCTTCATTGAATTGGTGCACCATAAATTTTCTTAACTTTAAAAAGAGACCAAATATAAGTCTGTACGTTGAATATTCGCGGACTTTAATATGATTTTTCGAGGATTTTAAGTTTGCTAATAACACCACTTAATTTTACGCAAAACGACAATACCTTGAAAAATTTGCCGCATAAAGTCGGGACTTCAAATTCTTTATGCAGTAGAACAGTTTAGTTCACTATTTTCAAAAGACAAATTAAAGCAAGGGACACACATACACCAAACCTATGATCCGCCTTAATTCCCCGCGCATGTTGTGGGAGAACTGCCATGCAGTTCCCAGCCAAAATCTCCCACATTTGTTGTGTGGAGCTGGCACTTAAAGGACTCGCCTCAGCAGGAAAGGGTCTTTTACACACAGGTCTTCCCCGGTCACTGACTGACGGCTATGCCATGCTGATGAGCCCCTGTAAGAGCAAAACAGCTGTCCATGGCTTCCACTGCCCATGTGATATGGCTGTGCCATGCGTGAGCGTGAGGTAATGGCAAGGCTGTGGGTTGGTGTATGTGTGCCCCTTGCTTTAATTTACTGGTAACTCGTGATCCACCTTCCCCGCGCATGTCGTGGTAGAACTGCTGTACGGTTCCCAGCCAACAGCTCCCACATGTGTTGTGTGGAGCTAGCGCTTGATAAACTGCTTTGCACTCACCTCGGCAGTAAGGGTTTTGGAGACATGGGTTTTCCCTGTTCATTACTCCAACGGCAACGGCTTTACCACCTGCCACTGCCTGCGTGATGTGGCTGTGCGCATGCATGAGGTACTGGCCCCGCCATGGGTTGGTGTATGTGTGCCCCTTGCTTTAAGTTTGCACTCTTTTCAATGCAATCGAATTAAGTTCAATCTATTTTCATCTATTACTGTATTTCACGACATTTCTAGACAAATTCAACAGCACACATATAGGTAAAATCTTTGCTCGTTGGCACTCAGCGATAGCTATAACTAGTATAGGGGAAACAAAAATTACTTTGAGTTAGTGGGAGATTCGAGTTATCGAGGGTTCGAGTATGACAGAAATCCAAGGGAAATCGATTTTGGTTCAAGTTAGCGTGAGGTTCGAGTTAGCGAGGGGTTGAATTATCGGGAGTCAACTGTATTTCATTCTTGCATAGCCACAATCGAGTTTGATTATTGAATTATGGCACTATACAAGCAGAAGATTCATTCAGAATACTGCATGCAGTTAACCGTTTGAATGTTTAACATGAATTACAATTTAAGAGTAACACAATTCTGTACCACGTAGACCTTTCTGGACAATATTAAGAAATTTTCTTTGTTTGCCGGTTGAAATTTGCATGAGTTAAAGCAAAGGAGTAGTGACGTCACTGGAAGGCATTAGTGGCTTGTTGATTCAGATGTCTTTCTCACAACTCAAGGAGGTGGCTGAAATTCAGGCTACCAGGCTGGGTGGACCAAATTGTTTATAAGGAGAAAGCTGGCCCACAATCTTAGACAGAATCATCCTTGGAGAATCAGGGGTGGTCAGTCAGGCCGGGAGAAAAGGCATGACGAAAGTTTTCAAGCACCAACTCTCACTGGAGCATTTCCAAACGGTCAAGCGAATACTGGCTCCTGACTGGACACAAAAAACACTTTGTATTATTGTGCCCAATCAGTGAACAGCATCTCCTGAGTTCTTCTCGTGAGTTCATACACGACAGCTATTAGCTCAATCATGGCTGGTCTGGCTCATGCACCAGAGAAATGCAAACTCTCCATTTCAAAATATTGTCTACCCAAAAATTAAAGACACTTTTCCAAAAATACAAGCTTGAGCTCACAACAGGTATTCACGCTTGCATTGATCATGCCTTCATAAATATTAGGGAGTTTACGATCACACGACAGCTGACAGCCACGAAAACATCGCATGAAAAGTGAATTCACATTTTTTCAGTCTCTATAATGGTTATTTCAACTTGCTTACTTTGTCAAATGCAAGCGAACTCTTCTGGAGCTGAATTTCTATCAACCATATCCAGTCTCATTGCTTGTTTTTGTCCTTCACAAAAAGTGATAATTAGGCATTTTCACATGGTAGTCGTGCAGTGACGGCAAAGAAATGTACAAAAAAGCGTGATGCACATGCAAAGTTGTTGTTTTGCCTTGTCAAGCTATTGCTTTTTGTACTTTCTTGTGGCCGCTGCATCTTAAACTTTCTATTATTTGCGATAGTACATTGTGATTTGTCAGAAACAGAATTTTCTCAGTGCAAATTGAATTGCTCCTGCTGATAGCATCCGAAATGTTTTTCGACTTATCGGTAGAACAACTGTGGCGAGATAATAGCCGTCGTGTACAAGCTCACGAAAAGAACTCAGGAGAAACTGTTCGCTGATTGGGCACAATAATACAAAGCATTTTTTATGCTCAATCAGGAGCCAGCATTCACTTGACCGTTTGGAAATGGTCCAGTGAGAGTCGGTACCCAGGGGCTCTTCCATCAGTGCTTGAAAACTTTCATTATGCCTTTTCTCCCGGCCTGACTGACTGCCCCTGGGTCTCCAAGGATGAGACAGAATAAAATGGAACAGCAAACCGAATCATTGACACAATAAGTTACACCCTAAGTACTGCCCTACTTCCTAGCAGCTTGGGCAGATTGTCATATTGTTTATATCATTCGTATCATACTTACCAGAGAACTGCACTTCTGACAGACACACTGGAGAAATTTTACCATCCACGAAGTTGAGAACAGCAACAGCACGGCCACTCTTTAAGATGACAGCTCCATAGGGGTGAAGATTGGTTATGGCCCCATCTGCAGTAAGTTCTGTCCAATTCTTATAACGATGGGTAGTTTCCTTTTCTGGGAGAGATAGAGCACATTCATTGTCAATGAATTCGATCTTGTACGATTTCACATCAATACTTTTAGTGCTTCCCTCTACAATTTGACAGATTGAATCGTTTAGGTCTTTTAGCCCGGTTACGTCTTTATTGGCTGCAAAAGGTCGAACTTTTTTTAGGCCAGAGTTTTCACTCAGTTTCTCAGAAGCAATAGGAATGATTACCAGACCGAAATTGAAAATTACTTTTTCCTCCGAGTTAGTCAGATTAGTTACATCCTGCAGCTGATAAGTTTTCGGCTGCTCGCTGTGCGAATGAGGATCACTACTTGATAAGAAGTACAAGGTATAATCGCTCGCGTTCAACAGGTTCTTTCTCCTCTTCAGGTCTTCCAGTTCTTCCTCTCGGACGATCTTTTCGCTTGTAACTAAAAATATCTTCTTTTTGCTGTAATCGTACAAACCACGTACTACGCTTCCAGTACGCAGCCCTGTGTGGCGTCCAGTACTAGCGGCATGTTTTGCCACGAGACACACTCCCAGCACGTCTGCGTTTTGATATAATCGACGCTCTTTCTTCGAAGTAATTCCTTTGAGTTTAGGAAGCTGATCCATTTGTTGCGAACGAAGCAGGTACGCTGTGCGCTGTACTTGCGCTGTACGGAACTACGCCTAGTCCCTAGGCCTCTTTATTCCGCGCGGCCAATGTGTTTCCGGTCACATGGTCCGACAAGAAAAGACGCTATCGGAGCGTACACTTGGGCGTCGTTGTATTACCCGTATGTGAGAAATTTTTATGTCAGGCATGTGTAAGTGCCGCAATGTTGTTAAGGTCTGTTAATTGTTAAGAGCGACGGTGAGGAAAAATCGAGCAAAATCTTGATTTCGGGGCAAGAGTTCAAAAATCGATTTCTTTCATTTAGCTTTTTCCTCGCGAAGCGCCAAGCGAAGTGAGTACGTTTATAATCTCGTCGCACGCGCAGCAAAAGCGCGCGCAGTGCTTGGACCGCGCGTGCATCCTAGCGAGCTGCAAACTCGCAGCGTTCATCTTTACCTGCGTATATCCGGTGGTGTCTACCATGACGTCATAGCGGAGCTCCGCGCGCGAAGCGCGGCAGCGGAGCACCATGGGTAAATAAATCTACCCATCCCAGAAAATTTGGTAATCACGTGACCGACCGACCGACCGACCGACCGACCGTCCGTCCGCACCACAGGCATACCAATGTTTACTCTCACACTTTCTAGCTACTCCTCGCTACTCTGGGAGCCCAGGAGAAAGCTGATTGCACATCAATGTTGTCATCAATTGACAGCTGTCAAAACAGGGTATCCGCTGACCAGTATCACCTGGCCCTATCGCGGGCTCAGGTGTTGACCCATCGAGGTCGAGTATTTTTTGAAGTTATCCGCTGAAAATTTACTCGTTTTCAAATGATCGCAGGCTCATGTTTACTTTTTTTTAAATTCATATCAAATATGTTGTGTTTATGTCAGTATCGCACCGCACTATTACGATTTTGATTTCAAACTGACCTCAGACGCAAAAATTCAGCCAGTTTTTTTAAAAGACAGGCGGGGAAGACCTTTTCTTACCATGGTTACGAGTTGGTCACGCTCCACGTCCAATTTTTATGCTCCGATTGGTTAAAATTTGACAGGTGAGTTCATGCGTAAAATTTATGCAGCATCTTGAAAGTTGTTTACTTTGACCGCTGAAGCTGACAGAATTTTGAGTCAACTTGTGATGTTTTTAACTGTCTTTTTCCACTGGATGTACAAAATGAAATACAGCTGCTATCAAGAGTGTTCTCTTATTCATGGCTGGTTTGTTTATTGGGTTTTTGGTTGAGAAGTGCGTCGCTTGTCAAAGCCGATAATCCGATTTCGGATGGCATCGTTTTTGTTTTTCACCTTGCTGGATGCGTACGAGAATTATAAAGGCTCAAGCGATCCTTGCCTTACTTGATAGCTTTCAGGAGCTGCATCTCGAAATATGGTAAGCTTAAGTATTTATTGTATTTAAATATAATTTCATGAAGTCCAGCGGCGCAGTTTATGAAGCTAGTTTATGCACGTTTGTATTAAGATTTGACTGAGACACCGATCTTAAAAAGCCTTTAGTCGATATTAATTCACCGTAAATAGAAAGAAAAAACTTTCCGAAGAATATTTACTTATAATTTTGGCTGTAGAAAGAAAGCTTTGAGCGATTTTCTTGTCGTGAGTCATCTTTGAAAACAGCAAACACCGGGAAACCGGCGGCTTAAAACATTATGGGTTTCTGCATAAACTTAATCTTTAAGCTTACTAGTAAAGACTTGACGATTCTTAGACACACTTAAATACTCATTTGTTTTCGTGAATGAAAATTGTTGTCTCTGTAAATGTTCTACCGAATGATATTTCGTTATTGATTGTTGGTAGTCTCAAAAGTGTGATTTTCATCGCTTTGCCGTTTGTTTTCAGCCGTTCATAAACATCGCTTTCAGGAGTACTCAAAATGCCAAGCGTCTCAAACGCTTTTTAAGATTACACATCGTTATAAAACCATTAATAAAAAATAGACTCAATAAATTCTTTGTCACGTTGAAGGGTAACTCTTTTAAAATTTCTTCGCAAATTTGGCGCTTGTCAAAAGTTAGAACCGGATGGCTGTATAGGTGATTTTGGAAATTTTTTGAACGGTTTAGCTAATTAAAAGTCCACGCGTGCTTCGATGGTCCTGAATATTGAATGAATGCAATTTGTCTTGAAAGTTTGTGAAATACTGCATTTTGTACGAGGTCTGTATGATAAAAACAGCGCCTCATAGTACTCTTTCTCCTCAGATGTGGTCTTTAAAAAATAATAAAAGATTGGTTTGCACGCACCCAGATTTATTGGCAAGAATTTGTAAACTTGTCGAACGCAAAACATTCGGCCTGATTTGTTTTCCACGCCTTATCTACTGTGATCAAGAGCCATTATTGCTCTTAAATGTGACCGAAGACTATTTTTTGGGTGTACATATAGAGCTATATCAACTCGATACAAGATTTGTGTCACTCCAAAATCACTTAGCTTTTCCCTCAAAAGTCACATGAATGTGCCCTTAAGTTAACTGATTTGTGGAATACAAAATTATTGTTCGATTAAGTTATAAAAGTATCAATGGGAGCTTCGCTTTTAGCTGTGGCTAAATCTATATATTACAGTAGTTTGACGTCACGGCGCATTTTCTGTTTCTAGGCAACATTCGACTGAAGGCGATTTCCCATCAATGACCAAAGTAATCATGAAGAGCTGGCTTGTTTATTCATCGTCTGCAAAACAATGTTTACTGTCGGTGAATCTCAAGCAATTTCTCATGCAAATGGCACAGAACAGCAAACACAAGAACGCGGACTGTAAATACTCCCAAGTAACAAGAAAAAAACGACATTAAAAAAAGACAAAGGCGAAGGGAAGCTGTTTCGCTTTGTCCTCCAACCTCTTTGGACGAACTAAATTCTCGCCACGTATAATAAACAGGGTGCAGCCTTTGTTCTTTAAGTGTCTATCAAGAGATGCCATCATTACTTTAAGGCTTTCTGGTTCATAATCTTTACCTTTTTTATTGTTTACTTCGGCGTAGAAATGCTCGAGCAAAGTGTTAAGCTCAGCCGGCTCATAATTTTCTATTTCATCAGTAATTTCCTTATCTACGCACCAATTCTTCCAAACAGAGAGACAAAAACCAGTGCTTTTCGCAGTGTTTTCGTTTTTAGAGCAGTTTTTCAGCCCCTCCGCAGTTGTTTCGGTCGCAAAAGCAAATGTGCTGCAAACGCCAACCATTGCGGTTTTTGCTCGAAACTAGTCCGGAGCGGATCCAAATTTTGCGCCATTTAGATGGCGCATTTGATTGGCTCTCAGTGAGTTCCTTTGTTTATTAGCCAATCAGAATGTCACGTTTGTTACTCTTTTCTGCACTAAATTACCTTTTTTCTGCACTCAATTACCTTTTTTCTGCACCGTGTATGCACCGTATGATAGAAACTACTGTGAAAGCGGCCTGCGGAGAAACGCAAAGAAACTGGTGGAAAAGCACTGACGAGAACTGCGCTTAGCGCGAACCTAAACTAACTGAAAATTTTACTGCAGAACTACGACAGACTAGTACAGTAACCATTCTAGGTCTCACATTTCAGCCGAACTGCAATTAAAGAAAAGTTATGTAAAGCTAATAAATGCTTGTATGTCATCAGATACCTCCGAAAAGAAGGATGTAGCCAAGCAGAAGTAGACCATAGTTCTACCTCAGTATTACTTATGCTTTATCTGGGTATGGGGCCTCCGAAGCAGAGCTAACTATAGCCCAGCAGTTTTTAGATCGATTTTTTAAACGCAGATACATATCCAAGAAATTAGAGATAGGTGAATTACTTAAAGTGCAAGATCATAGAATTTGTAGGAAGGTTTCTAGTATCCCGAACTACCCTCTTAGAGCTAATTTCCCTGAGACTAAGATTACAAGCTACAACTTAAGGAATAAATCTCCCGCAATGCCCGCCATTCACAAGGACCGTTTCAAGAATACATTCTTTAATAGAATTGTCTTTAACTATAATGCAGCTTTGTAAATAGTGTACTTTCTGTATTCGATTTTTGTATTTGTTTCTATATATATACTAATCTTATTTAGAGACATACTATAGCCCATTAACATTGTTATATTTAAATGTAACATAAGATATGTAGTTTTATCTTTTGAACAATAAAGACACTTTATTTTATTTATTTATTTATTTATTTACGATGTAAAAATGCACTCGAACATGCGGAAAAGAAAACTAAAGCCGAAACTAAAAGGGCGCTAATGAAGATGAAAGAGCAAAGAGACGCTAACGAGGGGGCCAACGCTGATCCATGGAACTAAACACCTAAATTCACGCAAATAAACTAAACAAAAGGTCGAAATAAACTATAAACTAATTAGCGTACGCAAAAGGAAAAACAAATTACGGAAAACTGTTACACTTGGATATTACATTCTTTGTAAAGTTTCGAGTTTTTCAAAGGTAATTTCTCCGAAACTTTTCGTTATATCGAGCTCAAATTTTCACAGATAACTGAAATTTTCTTGTTATGCTCTTTCATTATTGACAGGTTTAATTTTATTACCTTGATCATAGAATTAAAGACATATGGTAATGAGGCAAAACATGTAAACTAAGATTCGCCAATTGTTCCGCACGTTCATCCACAAAGCAGATCAAACATGCTTTTCCTCCTTCCCTTTATCTTCATCTAACATTCGACCAATGAAGAAGTCAGAATAACGTTCTATCTTTGCTCTGAGTACGAAAATTTTCTTTCCGTTCTTGTCCTTTGTTATGAATCCACAAGCACCTCTTACAAAAAGCACAACCCTGACTATGGAACGTACTGGAATCGAACTAAAACGGCCAAAACCATAAATAAAACGAGAAGACAAAGTAAGAAGTTCTGATAAATTATTTTTTATTGCTGTTTTTGACCCCTTGACAGCTGCCTAAATAATGATCGCTAAAAATTCCCATACAAACCCTTATTTTATTTCTGTTACGTAACAATGATTTTCACTCGTGAGCTTGGGGTACCTTCGGTGATTCCATGTGATACTGTGATGCCATCACAGGAAGCCCAAGCTCAAAGCAAACCTTCGAATTACAAGGTTTTGTATGGGAAAAATACGATGGTTTCTGTAACATTCGAATGAGAAAAGAGGCCGATGTGAATAAAAGTTGGCTAAAACCTCACTTACACAACTTAAGTGAGGTTAGCCAATTTTTATTCAAATCCTCTCACATTCGAAGGTTACAGAAACAATTGTATTTTTCCCATACAAATCCTTGTATTTCGAAGGTTACTCATCAGTGCCGATGGTCATATTTCGATCTTGGGCCACATTCTCGAGCATCATATTTAGAGCATCAGCCGAAACATGCTTCTTCCATGCAGCCCATGAGAAAAATGCAGTGATGAAGTACAACGAGGTGGCTTTAAGCACTTCATCTACAGCCATTTCCTTGCCACTACTTGAGTGCCCTGCAAAAATTACTACGAGAAAAAGTAACAGGACAACAAAACAATAAGCTACACAAATGACTTTGGCTTGTGTGGGATTTTTGTTAGAATTACTACCGTTACTCGAAGCAATACCAGTGGTAGAACTATTGGTAGTAGTACAGCAGCCAGTACTGTAGCAATTACCATTGGGGAATTCTTCAAGGTAAATATACTTTGCATAAGTGACAGAAGCGGAAAAAGAGAAAACAAGAAGAGCAATAGTTAACCCCCATGTGGGATTTATCCTAATCCCAATTATAATCCAGCAGAGTATATAGCTTATCGCATGTCCTCCATAGATCTTTAACAAAAATAAAAGCTTTGAGTCACCATACTCGAAACACCTGATGACACAAAAGGACTCTAGCGAACTAAGAAGAAAAATTATTATTATAATAACAGTAAAGTGAAAGGTACCCCCAAGTTTCCAGTAGATAATTGAAAGCGCAAAGGCAACAACGATAAGCAAACTGCTTAACACTGACAAGAAATAAAAAGAAAAACACACAGCTTCAAATTTGTTTTTCTTCTCAGAATTGCTATGTCCTAAACTTAAGTCTTCTATATCTCTTATATTTTTAGCCAACAAAGGGCCACTAAATATTACAAAACACATAGACAACCATAACATTGCTCTGACGTAATGACTTCGTCCTGTTGCAAAGTCAGGTTTATGACCCTGTATAACACACTCAGCTGTATTCAGTGATGGATTTCGAATGGTAGGGCTATCAGCCAGATCCTGCAACTGTAGAGCAAACAAAAAAAATACATGTGCTTTACAGCTCTTTCAAGTTAAAGAAGAGAGAGGACAACAAAACCATTTCCCTGTAGCCGGCTCTAAAGGCGCATTTGAACATTTTTTTCTTAATCCCTAACTAAATTCTTTCAGCCCTGCCCCTTGGGGGATCAAAGTGCAGTATTCTTAAAAGCTCTATTGTATGATCTGCCCCTTTACATCTCTAGGGTATGGTTATTGCTGAAGACAGCATGTAGACATCTGGAATCAATCTGTTTATCCAGAACTAATAGATAAACAAGAATCGCCGAAAGGCGATTTTAACTGGGCTGCCAAGCGCGATTTTTCCTGGGGGAGGGGTGGCTGTACACATTTAGGCCCCTACATAACCTTGTCGCTGACCATTGCGTGACATAGCATCATATGCGAGAGTTAAACGTAAACTCATTGAACATTGTACCGTTTTGGAAGACTTTCGTAACAAGAAAAATGAGTACCTTTTTTGAGTCGGGGCTGTATAGTAACTCAAATTCCAAGCAAGTTAGCCATTCTAAGCAGGAAACAATAGGGGTTATTTTCACGCACGGGGGGGGTACTCCCTTACAAGGGCTTAATGGGGACGTACGGCCAGCCACGGTATGTTTTTCGGGATTTTTGTCTTAAACAGGGTATCGAATTTATCATTTGTTGTCTTAATCAGGGTATCGATTTATCAATTTTTGTCTTAAACAGGGTATCAAAAATCGGAATTCTGACTTAAACAGGGTAGGAAAATCAGCGATATTTGTCTTAAACAGGGTCAGGGTATGAGGGGCCGCGCCGCACCTCCCCACCCAGGGATATATCGAGTACCCCCCTGGGCACGAACCCCTCTCCCAATTCTTTCGCCCCCCAAACATAAAGTGTTAAAGTATAACGTGACTAATTTGACCTAACCGGAAATTCCGTTCCAAGGGTCATAAAACGCTGTTACAAAGTAGTACATTTCTCAATTCTGGTTCTTAAAACTGCAAAGTTCTAAACAAGGTATATGTGAAAGGGGTACCATTTGTCAATAGAGGGTATACGAAACTGGGTACCTTTTTCGTGAAAAAATGGTACTTAAAGGGCATTTGTTGAGTACCCGCCTCCCTCCCCCCCCTCCCCCCTCGCCGAGAGTTACCACGCGACCATAATTATTATTGAAGTCTCAGAAACAGAAAACACAGAGGAGAAAGACTGAAAAAAAGAATTAATCGCAAATCTGCGTACACAATTCAAACCAATAGACACTTTCCAATACGTGCATGTCTCTTAGTCGTGCCACCCTCCAGCATAGAAGAAAGATAAAGAGATGATACAAACAATTTTTGGTGAAGGTTCAGTGTAAGAGACAGATATCTACATACCAACTGACAACTTAAAGAAAAACAACCATTCGGAGTGTGAAAGAAACAGTGTTCCGTGTTCCCGCATGCTCCGAGCCTGCAAATTTATATGCGGAAACTAACTAGCGAGAGACATAACCGGTCATAACGCTAAACGAGGAAACTAGTAAACAATGGCTTTTATGAAGCCAGGAGCAAAGATTCAACATGAATATATTCGATGTAATTTCAAAAATTTCAATGGCTTTGAAATTTCACCAAATGTTAAGCAATCATTAAACTCTCAAAGAACCGGTTAAAAAACATATATTGAGTAATTTTTTAAACTGCGACTTTAAAACCAAAGATTACAACTTTTTACGGTTGCATGAGCAAAATTATCTTATGAGTAAGAACGTGATCGCAAAGAGGAAAGAGCGATTGCTTGCCAACTGTTTTCACTACATGAAAGAACTGAACCGCACCTTAAGCTAAGAATATAAATCTGGATTGTACCGGCACTGTAAATCATCATTTTATAGCCGGAGGATTGAAAAACAAAAGTGAAAAAGACATCTTTGGGGATGAAAAATTTTTAGAAAGTTATATTTCAAAAACGCTGTCATCGATTTTTTCTTCAGTCAAATCTTGCCAAGGTAAAGACAACGGTCTGAATTATTCTCATACTAGGGGATTTTAACAGATTGTTGCTAGTTTTTGAGAAAATTCCCGGCAATTTATGATTTCATGTCATCGTTATTCTGTTGCTATGGAAGCGGCAATGCCAACATAACGGTATGTGTGCCTATCTCTCGAACGCACCAATTCTCGGACAGTACGCATAAATGTTTCGTAATCGTTGTATTTCTTGCTGGACTGTAACAACTAAAAACCCAGAGATAGGCTCCGTTGAGTGATTGGTTATTCTAATTGCGCTAACTCCTTTTGGTCGTCGTTGGGTCTAGGGGAGAAAATTTGAAGATCGATCTTGTCAGTAAAGGTAGGTAAAAATGTGTTTCTGTCAAATTAAGTTCGTATTTCGATGCACATCGAATTAGATCGTTTCAGTTTCCACCCTGTTCTCGCCTATACTCAAAATGGAACAAGGTTTGCTTCCAAGTAAGAATTAAGAGTTAACTGTTTCACAAATTCGAGAAAGAACACGGGAAAAACGTGGTATATTTTTGTGAGGTATAACTATTGTCGGACAGCGCGAAAGCCAAACACATTTTTTAAGTCCAACAACAGTTTCATAAAAGAAGAGCGAAGAAAATTATTTTTCCCAGCGAGCAGTTGGAATTAACTTACATAAAGGGCAAAATATTTTTAACATCGCTTGTTTGTCTGCGACTAATACACGAGGATGGAATCACTAAAACTGACTTTAAAATCCTTTTTAAGTCGGGAAAAGAGATTGTTTACTATTAATATTACTTCGTTTTTCTTCAACAAGACGTATATTAACATGATGAACAGGATTAATCATCGACGAACGATCGTCCGAGAATAGGGATACGTGTCTGAGAACAGGCCGCTCAATTTCTACCATATCTTTTAAAATTACGGATAAACCTTTGGTGTTCAACTCCCTGGGCTTGGAAAGATAGGTATTATTTTCCCCTGCATTTTTAAGTCGGGGCTGTATAACCGTGACTTTCACAAGCAAGTTACTATTTCGAAACAAGAAAAGATTAGCATTAGTTTTAACTGGGACATTTCCACAATGCACTCCCCTAATCCCTTGATGATCCTTGATCTGCCTCCAAAAATATAACATGACAATCTAATGGCGTGACTTGTTTGGTATAACCGGATAATTCCGAAAATTATTGTCATTCTACCCTTTTTAATGATGAAACTAGTGACAGCAGGGTCAACTTTTGAAACTGAGGAAATAAAAACGACTCGAAGTAATCGTCGGAAATTCAGGCTACAACTTTATAGCGGTAACTTTCTTTTTCTCAAGACCCGCAAAGTAAATTAAGTTTTAGCTTTGTTCTGTATGGTATTTCATTACCTCTTCTAGTTTACTCCGAACAAAAGAAGTTTTGCCTGATACATAACTTCTGCTGAATATACAGAGAAAAAACTATCTCCATGAAGGAGGATTTGATCGACATCTTCGGACCTCCATTTATTCACAAATACGCAAGTAATGCAGTCAGCCACATATAAATCTCCCCTCTTCCTCGAAATTCATCACTAAAACGCTCTGAATCGAGAACTTGATGAATACGTTCACAAGCAAATTAAGACTTCTAAAAAAGAAAAATAAAAGATTTCTAAACGCTCACCTCAATTATGATCTGCTTACTCTCAGGAAATTTTCTCGAAATCTCTCGATCTCGTCCATGTGCGTTTAACGTGATGCTATCGCACAGGAGTGAATATCCCGGATAATAAGAAAACCTGGTATGGACTGCGCATGCTTCCTACCTTATATCCGACGTTTTTTAGAGAATAGTCTGCTGGCTCGCATAAGGCTCGCCAGCAACTATCCAGTTGATGTTTCTGTGAGACGAGACGAAGCAATCTACAGTCAACACTCTTAGCATATTGCTTTCCTGTAAGCATTACTTTCCACAAGCGGGAGGAAAACGGCAATATTAACATACAGAGAGAAATTTGCTGTCACATTTTAGTGGGGAACGCACTAATTTAATGGTTTCAACTTCAACATAACGGAAAAGGAAACATCGAAAGCGACTTATCCTACCATCTCTAGAAGAAGCGGGCATATAAAAAAGTGCCAATACTGTTAGCTTCAGCGATATCTTCATTCAATGGATGTACATGTAGACTAGTACACAGAGGGATTGAGTGCAAAGAGAAAACGCTTATAAAAAGGTTTTAAATCTTCAAGATAAAGTTTCGATACTTCATGTTCCAGCAAGAAAGGCGAATCACGATTCGCCTCAATATGTTAAAGCAGGTTTCGTTATTTTCCCTGTTAATTTACCGAGTGATTAAGCCAAAAGAGTCTTAGGAAACATGTTCATTTGAAACTAAAGGATTAAAAGCATAGCATTTTTTCCGTCATGAATTCTCATGTGGCGTTCTTGCTTCGCGACACTGCCATGACATCCATTTGATCATGTTTACGGAGAGAAAGTAGTATTTACTTACATTCTTTAATCTGTAAAATCATTTGAAAAGTGGTTTTTGGTGTGGAACCCTCTGTCTCTCCACATGGATCTGCCACTGCACTTAGAATACGACCTATCAATAGTTAATATTCCTTCAAAATATTCACTTACCTCAAATTGTGCCCTTATAAGAAAACCTTTTATCATTTTCTTCCTTTCCCCATCGTCATCTGAGATATTGCAACAAAACGCAGGAATTTGTATGTTGAGCTCTTGTTCTCGAAATGTTACAAGGATGGACCCAAGAGACAACATTTCAAGCAGCGGACCAGGAGCATTGGCATACAGACAGTGTATACTCCAGGTAAACTTTGCTGGTTCTGAGTTGTGTGTTTTATTGGGCCCATAAACATTTACTTTTACAAGAAATGATGTTTTGCCCCGTCAGGATACAAGGCATGGGATATGTTAAAGTTGTTCTGATTCTCTGTTAAACTTTTGTAGACATGTGCATAGGTGGAACTACATGTTGAGTTGGTGGACACGCAGTGCTTGATCACATCTGCATCCTCATTGTCTTCAGCAAGAGACAGCATAATGTGCAGGAAACTAAACCAAATAATGCCCCCCAAATTTCGCATTTTGTACGTGCTTGCAATGATGTTTCTCTTCAGTTCTCTTTCAATAGCTTGATCTATGAGCACGCAAAACAATATCATTTTGACGATGGTTTACTATAATTGCTATAATACAATTAGTTTCTTTATATTAAAGGGGTAAAATGTCAAAGATTTGTATTATAGTAGTGACCTCTGGTGCTGCAAAATTAGCTATACTATTCTGAGGCCCTTTTAGGGTAAAGTTCCGACAAGCCACATGGCCTTCAAACAGCAACATAAGACTAGATAAAATGGCAAAATTCAGAGTATAAGGGGACATACGTACACCTCCGAAGAGGGCCTCTATTCTGGGTCTGATAGCCAAAAACCACTAAAAGTGTCTTAGGCTAGGAAAAGGTAGGAAACTAAAATGGACTAAGAAAGGAGTGGAACCAAACAAGTTTTATAGACTGTAGGAAGGGTCTGATCAACAGCTAATAATTTGTACCCTTCCTCGCTTTCGAAAGCATGAGGTTTGATATCTCTGTCACTCAGAATTACTTTTTTGGGTAGAGCAAACAATTATAGATTACAGACAATTATAGAGGTAGGGAATGATTTTTGGCATTTCTGGGCCCAAACGAACTGTCTGTAATAGAGAGGTGTCCGTAAGGAGAGGTTAGACTGTACTAGTGGCAGAGTTCATGTAAATTTATACCGTGATTTTAGTAGGGCCTACCCCCAAAAGTGATTGACTTGCTGAAGAAAGAAAAATTCGGGTTATGACGGAATAATATTCCCTGTAGGAAAGTGAAAGTTAATGGCTAACCAAAATTAGTAGTTAACTGAGAATTGGCCAAAAAAATAGTACCCTCCTTTATTTATGGATTGATGTAGTGTTCAGTAGACAGGAGTTGTTAGGCACGGAGCCACTTTGTAGTCTAATGTTGGAGTGAGTGGAAGTAGTGCATTTGACGGGAATAAAGTGTATGTATATTTTTGTGTCTTCTCAAGCGTTCACTTGAAATATGCTTTGATCAGCGAGCGGAAGAATGTACCGGGATTGTATGTCGATGAACCGGCGGAAAGTTAGTGAGTTCAGGACGATCGAGAGCGATAAACACCATAGACGTTCATGCAGCCTCGAAGTATTAGAAATAATGAGTCGATGTCTTCTACCTTGAATATTTAATGACGCAGGACAATTTGAATACAGTATTAGGTTCGGCTCATGAAAAGTCCGGCGTCTGAACCTTGCACGAACGCTAGGAAGATCAAGGAGGTTTCCAGTGACTGACGAGACTTTCAGCTATAGCAAAAATGGCTCAAGAAAGGTGCCCATCCGCTAAATAATACTACTTGATCTTACCTTGTACTGCTTCAGCGAACACCTCAATAGAAATCCTGTTGTTAACTGCAATTGAGGTATAACAATTAAGCTTATAGTTCCTTATAAACTGTTATACAGCGCTTCAAATGATGTTGATCGGTTTTGAAGCCCTAAAGGAAACGTTGAACAGTGTAGTAACAGCTTCAAAAACTGCCTGCTGGCGGTATCAAGCTCTTGCAACAAGAAGAGTGTTTCAGTTTGTTATTTCTCGGAATTTCTCTACTTCCGGCATCAAGTATTACGAAAGCCGAGGAGGGTCTTCCTACTTCCGCCTTCCAACTTCCGACTTCCGACTTCTGACTTCGGATTTTACTTCTCCCAACGTTATAAATCACAGTCACATAAAGCGATTGAACAGCAAACCAACACAGTGAGTGTCATGATACTTCTACCGAAGGAGTGGTAAATAGTATACCGCCCAAAAAACTATCAAAACTGGATATATTAAAAGTGAACCCTCTTAACAGGCCCGTAGGCTGGTTTCGATGCGGGTAGGTTCTTTTTCTCTTCAAACGGACTAAACATGCAGCTATAGTTTATTAAAAATTACCTTTAATAGTAATCTCATGTCGTTTAGAAACTTTTCCCTATCTCCCTCCCTCTGGTAAGGCGCAGGAGTTTTACCGTTTTCCCATCGATTTACAGCGCTTGTGTTAGGGCCTGTTTACGAGGAGAGTGGGTTACGGCGGCTCCTGGCTAGGGTTCACTTAGTGAGCGCGTTTGACGTTAGCTCTGGTTTACAAGCAAATTTCACAGGTAGGGAGATATGTCCAAGATCGATCTTGTTAGCAAAAATTTGCTAGCAAATTTTTTTTGCAATTGTTGCAAAAGAAATAATGGAGAAAAAATTACGTCAGAAAATCACTTACAAATATCGCAAAAATCGCAGAAATAACAAATCTAACAAGAATCAAGGCTTAGGAAAAAAAAAGAAGCCAAGAAGGACCCCGAAATGTCCGCAAATATCGCAAAAATCGCAAAAGTAACAAGGATTTTTCTTGCTAGCTGAAAACACCCGTGACAAATATCGCAAATATCGCAAAAATCGCAAAAGTAACAAGGATTTTTCTTGCTAGCTAAAAACACCCGTGACAAATGTCGCAAAAATCGCAAAAATAACATATCTAACAAGAATCAAGACTTAGAAAAAAAAGAAGCCAAGAAGGGCCCCGAAATGTCCGCAAATATCCCAAAAATCGCAAAAGTAACAAGGATTTTTCTTGCTAGCTGAAAACACCCATGACAAATATCGCAAAAATCGCAAAAATAACAAATCTAACAGGAATCAAGACTTAGAAAGCAAAGAAGCCAAGAAGGGCCCGAAATGTCCGCAAATATCTAAAGACCATTTGTCGTTAACAGTTCCAATTAAGTATATCGAGTACTAGACAAAAAAGCATTTATCTTCATAAACTGACCCACTATAAGGAGTGGATCTGGAGGTCCAAAGATTTCTTAATTCGCGGTCTAAATTAGACTTCGTTTAAATGACCGACCCTAAGTGTTTTTAAGAAAAAAATAGTTTGCAAACAGTCCAAGAATGAAACAAATCTTACATCGAGTTAATAGTCAAATGTAAACCCCAAAAATAGCAACCATGCACCTTAGATCATAGCAGATTAGGCTTGGAAAACAAATTCTTTCCAAACAAAATAACCCAGTCGCCCACCTACATCACCTATATTTTATATATAAGGTTAAAGTTTAATTAGACATCCCTCCGCCCACCACCACCCCCCCGCCCCCTCAACAAAAAATTCTTTTCTATAAAGGCCAGTTATAAGAAACGATAGGCCTCGGTGGCACGTTATAATTTATCGGTTGCATTCCTCTGTCTAAAGGTACGGAAAAACGGGCAACAAAAAAAGTGCAACTTGTTTGGCAACATTGCTGCAAAACGAGTTGAATAGCGATGTTGCGCGTTTTACCACCTCGTTGAAACCTGTTAACAACCTGATTTGTTGCAAGACAGGTTTTATGTTAGTGGTAAACTGCGCAACATCGCCATACAACTCGTTTTGCAGCAATGTTGCAAGATAAGTAGCACTTTTTTTGTTTTCCGTTTTTCCGAACCTTAAAAGGGAGGCCAAATTAAAAAAAAAGCATGTTGGATTTTTTGTGTTTACAAAATCTTGCCCACAAATCTGGTGGTGTGTAAACCAGCCTTTTATACTTTTTATACCTCACATCTGAGGTAAACAGCACTATTAGGCGCTGTTGGTTTATCGTACAGGCCTTGGAGGGTTACTTTTGCCCTATTAAAACCTATAATTCCAGTTTTTCACAATTTTCCAAGACAAATTGCACTCATTTAATATTCAAGACGATCGAATCACGCCCTTCCCTTGCACAATAAATTATAGAATTGACCACATTTTGAAACGTTTTCATGAAGAGAATACCACAATGTCGGGACTGTTCAGACAGATCAATCTGCTCCAATGAAGTGTGCAGGGTAATAATGGGCTTTTAGCGAAAACTTTCGAAAAATTTTCAAAATCACCCATACGGCCAGCTGGTTATCACTTTTGACAAGCGCCAAATTTGCAGTGCGAGCCATTGACAAACAAAGCGAGTAGAGTAATAACACGACTCGTAAATCCATGTTCGTCATGTTCACAATATCTGTTACAATCTTCCTTTCTATTTCCGGCTGCGTAACCGCGCATCCTTGCAGCCACGCCTTTGTCGTACACAAATTTAGCTGGTCACGGTGTTTACACCTTGCCATTCAAATTTCCTACCGTACCGGTCAAAAATTTGACCTCAATTTTAGCGTTCAAATTTTTGAACTGCTAGGCGATCAATTTTCTTACGGTTAGCTGGGTTCCGTGTGAACGGAACACCAAAACGTAATTGATTTCACTATTCTATACAGCCCGGTGAACTGACGATGAACCTGTAGATAGATCTCACGTTGCTTGTCGTAGCAGATAATCTTTCATATGGGGTTCTTCGTGAATGTGCTTTGCACATACAAGCGAGATAGCTCGTGATTAAACGGCAATGGTGGAACTTCGCGCTGATTGCAGGTACAACTTTGTAAAATGCAAGAAACTTGATAAAAGGACTACTACACAGCTTCATATGGGGTTCTTCGTGAATGTGCTTTGCATATAATCGAGAGAAATCGAGATCACTTGTTTTGATTCAAAGTTACAATAGGCACGCAATACGTGCGAACGTAAACAAGCCAAGCGATGCGAAAGTCTGCTGCGCGATGTGTCACGACACATACATACACCCCACAGATAACGCACGACAAACAAAATTCCGGCAATAGAAAACCGAACGTACCGAGAAAAAAAAACAAGAAACACTTAGTG